ACAGTGGAGGTAAACCTAAGCGTTGGGTAACGATGAAAGAGATAGCATCACTGGAGGCACCGATTGAGTCGGTCTCCGCGTGTATGGGGGGTGGGACAAAGGAGCTATCTAAGGCAGGTTGAGCTGGGCTGGGGGATCTACAGTGAAATAGTACAATAAGAAATAACCGAAACAGCAATAAGCAAGGCATATTGACATGGGAGAGAGGTATAAAGCAATCACAGGTGTTATTCGAGCTAAGACAACAACTGGTAATGGCGACAAAGTTTGGGCTGAGGCTAAACATAAACAGGATGCGGTACCGTATAAAGGAACAGTCCAGCAGGCATCAGCTGTATAGCTGAGTTATCATAAGGTCCGGTGAACAGCAATAGGAGAGTTCGGAGGTAGTTCGGGGGCTGCTATAGCACTGGCGAGCAAGAGGCCATGGCTAGCGTGTGCTAGCGGGCCGGGGCTAGCAGATGGATCTTCGTGGTAGACGTCGTAACGGGAAGCCTGTTGTGACCACATCAGACGATTTCGTCGGCAGACCAGTCGTGTTGGATCGGCGGGGCTCCGTGTCAACACTAGGAGGTCCTGTGGGGATCTGTTTTCTAATAATTGGATCCGTATGTGATGAATAGCTTAGAAGTAATGCATTAATGATAAGCATAGAAGGTTTGTACTATACTGATATAAATTGTTTCACATAACCAGCTGTGATTCATGTGAGGAACGTTAGGGGGTAGGACAGATAAGACTTGTATTTCTTACAGATACAAACACTGCCTCTTTGTTGTCTGTGAACCGTCCTTGAACGTAGGTACAGCAGAATGGTGTTTTTTGGGTGCTGACTCCACAGGTTGTTATGATAAAAACTTATGCCTGGCAACAGTGTGCAACAAGTGGAGCGCCAAGGGCCTGGGACCAGCCGGTGCGCCAACGGATTGGCTGAGTAAGTCTAAACCACGCTCAGACTCTACTCTGATTGGCCAGCAGGGAGTGGGAAATATCTCTGTCAGAGTATTTGAAGAAGAACCTGTAACAATGGATTAGTTCTCTGAGTCCCCTGCGTGGTATTTCAGTGGACCCGTATATACGAACCTTCATATTTATCATACATACATTTTGCATATAATAAATGTAGCTTGGATTGAATATCTCTTGATTATGTTTGATTCTTATTCCAATACCAGATTTGAATTACGCAATTTCTAACAGTCCCGTCCGGTTGACAGAGAGGTAGAGAGCTGGGAGATGGGCCTGGCTCAATGCTAGCTCAAGGCTGATTAGCCAACATCAACATCCATTTGGTTGCAGCTAGCTTGTTGCGATGATCCGGTGTTAAAGGTCCAGTGATTCAGTGATTCCGGCAGAAAAAACGTTATGTTCTGGGTTGATATCGTGCTGTGCAGACAGTGCAGACTGGCTGATAATAGTCCACGCTAGAGCTGGCTGGTAGGTAGGTAGTGCAGGCCACGGACAATGGTGAAAAACCGCTAACGGTGGCTAATAGCAAGTAGCTAGTTAGCTGGCTACTCCCGTCCGGTAGACAGAGAGGTAGATAGCCGGGATATGGGCCTGACTCGAGGCTAGCTCAAGGCTAACTGGTGCTTGCTTCAGGGGCTGTGGTGATTAGCCAAACAGCAACATCCATTCGGTTGCAGCTAGCTAGTTGCGATCCGGTGTTAATATCCAGTGATTCAGTTATTCCAGCAGAAAATCAGATGTTCTGGGGGAAAACCGCTAACGGTGGCTAATAGCAAGTAGCTAGTTAGCATGCTAGCTAATTTCAACTGGAGATTCTAGATAAAAGGTAAGTCAATAATAGAATCCGTTCCACATTGAGTGAGGCGGGTAGCAGGAAAGTATATTTTGTAGAAGGATGAAAAGTGTGATAGGGAAATATGTACGAAAAATACAAAAAAAATACAAAAAAATACAAAATACTGGCTATTTACACAGACACACAACAAAGAACACGACCGCACTGCTACGCCATCTTGGTATACTCACTCATTATTCACGATTCATTCAGGACTATCCGTAATTATGGTAGCATCCACATGAAGTGTTTTATAAATATTCTATTCTTATTTACAATAGATGTGACTCCGAAATGACACAACACATTATTTACCATTAATTTCTATTGGGTACAAAATAATATGAAACACAACCAAAACAAACAGCAAATGCATCCAACGAGTTTGTGAATATGTACAAAAAGTGCTATAATTACTAAACGGTTCACCCGATATGGAGGTAAATACCCTCAAATTAAAGCTGACAGTCTGCACTTTAACCTTGTAGTCATTGTTTCATTTCAAATCCAAAGTGCTGGAGTACAGAGCCAAAATGAATATATATCACTGTCCCAATACCTTTGGAGCTCACTGTACATGCCCTCAAGGATTGAAGGCAGGCGAGATCAGGTGGGACCATTCTAGCCAATGAGAGGGTAGATATGCGTGTAAATAAGAGGCACAACTAAGCCGTTTTTCTCAAAGTTGCCGGAATGCCACGTGCATCCACTTATATCAGTACAGTAACAGTAAACATTACAAAACGTCTATTAGATCAAATAAGCCTCACGTAATTTGACACTCTGAAAGACCTCCATCCAAAAACAGTGCTTATCTCACGCTGACAGATTTTGGGCTAAGTAAATCCTCTCGCTTCGCCTCTTCCTCTCCGTTTAAACAAATGTCTTATTTTTCCTGATCTTCTCTGATTTCCTGACCACATCCCTGCCCTCACCTTTCTCCCATACAGAAGTTGTGATGTCACAGGTGACGCATCTCACCCTGAGAGTGGAGGAGAAATGCGCCGATGACGTCATCTTTGTGTCAGAGACTCCGCCCACCCAGGAACCGCTGGAGCAGTAGCCAAAGATGAAGCCAGTCCAGTGACTAGTGTGTTGTGCAGGCATACACTGAAAGTTCTATTCCAGGTTATATTCTGGGACGTTTATCAATTATTCTGTTCAGTGACAATTTGTTGTCAGTTCAATGGCATTTTATTGGCATTTGCATTATAAATAAATAAATTAGTCATTTAGCAGACGCTCTTATCCAGAGCGACTTACAGGAGCTATTAGGATTAAGTGCCTTGCTCAAGGGCACATCGACAGGTTTTTCACCTAGTCGGCTCGGGGATTAGAACCAGCGACCTTTCAGTTACTGGCACAACGCTCTTAACCACTAAGCTACCTGCCGCCCAATTCTGTGTCCAGCATTATCTTTCAGGTTATTTAGTCATTTGCTTTGCTTTTTCCTTTTGTTGTTACTTAATCACCCATGTTCACGTCATTTGACTCAAGTTAGCCATTCGTCTGCTGATCAGAAATGCCTCGGGGCTTGTCAATTTTTCAAAACGATTTGGTGCTATGGACAATCTGTCAAATAAGACGACACCATTTTAGGATGGTTGTTGACATATTTGTTTCATCAGTAGTTCTAAACAGAACTCTTTCATCCATGGCTTTTATACCAGACTTGTGCATTTATGGAACAATGCAAGATTGATATGTATAAAATCTTTTTGTAATGTTTCATTTTTGTAATTTTGCCAGTGTTTCAAAAATAAAGCACTATATTTACATATTCCATTATTGTTGAAGTTAGAAAATCTGACATTTTCAATGTGAAAGCCTTTGTTGAATTTAATTATACAAAGTCACAATGTTTGTTCCTGTAAAAAAAAAATTGAAATGTGCAGTGAGAACTGAGAATGTTTTTGTTTTGTTTACACAATACATAATCTTGCACTTCCTTCCAGTCATTTTCTTAGTCTTTACAGCAGCTGTTATGATCTTGTCATACCACCACATCTACAATGTCCTCCACAATCTAGTGTAGAATGCAAGCTACAGCTATGACATTCCAGAACGTTACTAGAAAGTGATGGTTCAAAATCTTCACATAGGACCTTATGATCATATTTCTCACCACATAATTGTCATTGATAAAGGACACAAATACTCGATGTTCACAGTATCCATTTATAGTTGTATACAAATTAGACGCATTGGATTACAGTAGTGTAAAAATGAAAAACATGGAAATGAAGGCTAGAAAAGAAGCTGTTACATTTGAGTGTTCCAGGGTTGTATTTATTAGGGCAGTTTCCCAACTCCAGTACCCCAAACAGCACACATTGTTGAGGCCCAGACAAGCACACCTGATTCAACTTGTCAACTAATCATCAAGCCCTCTAAGTTGAATCAGTTTGTCCGGGGCTACAACAAAAATGTGTGCTGTTGGGGATACTCGAGGAGTTGGGAAACTGCATTAGTTTTCCAACAGAAAACGGAAAGGAGCGTTTCTCATTGGACAAGTTCAGGTTGTTTTAGTGAGTTTTCCGTTTGGTGACTAACAAAAACAACCCAGGAGGAAGAACAAAGGTAGGCTGCTGTAGGGTAAGGCACATGACATATTTATGGCTCTGGTTCAAAGGAATCAAGAAACATCTCATCCTTTGTGAGCGAAGTGTCATCAATTTGTTAGATTCTTGTTGCATCTTCGCTACATTATCTCAATCTGTATTCTGTGCAATCATGCTAAATAATATATTTAACCAAAGTCATAATCACATGAACCATCTGGGGGTTATAAAATGAAATCTTTGAACTATATTAACAAAGACTCCTTGATCAACTAAATGTCTAAACCGTACTCTTGTATAATATCCCATACAGGTGTATAATCGCATAGCACACTGCAACCACAATTTGGTTCAGGTACAAAGATACTGATGAGTACAGCAAATTGTGTTCTTAGCTGCTCTATATACATACTATGAAACTAAAAAAGCTGTTTATCCCAATACTTGGAGATATACCCCCTCTCCAAGCAATCATAATTTGTTACTGGTAAAGATTGCCTGTAGTAGAAATTGCTTTGAATTGATTTTACATTTTGTCCATGATGAAACAATTTCAAGGCTCAGTGCAGCAAATATTGTCACCTTGAGTTCAGCTAGTGGTATTGTGTAAAGTCCAAAGTTTAGATGGAACTGAACTAAGGTATTTCTGTGACATTGGTGCCTGGAATGAGGTTGTCGTCCTTGCCCTCTATTAGATGGTCCCATTGATTGAAGTCTTTATCCATACCTGCAAAACAAAGGCAAACACAATTGACACAAGGAAATTACTTTGCTTCCTCTGTTTTATCAAATGAAAAAACATTCAGAAGGAAATAATCTCCCGCACACAGAATGACATTTGAACATGTCTGATGCACCTGTTGAAGTTGCCTGGTAACCCGAAATAGAATTGTCGGGCAGAAATGAGCGTTTGAATCAGGAAAGGACCAACCGGTAAAGTACGTTAAAATACAATTTGATTAAACATTCTAGCTTGTAGAGGTTGTGAGAGGAAACTTTCCTGATTCAAATGCTCATTTCTGCCCAACGTAGAATGCAATTCAACATTGGGTTTCCAGGCAACTGTTGAAGCAACCCTTGTTTACAAATCAAATGTACACCATACAGATCCTTACCTAGATGTCGCTGTAGGAACGCTAGCGATGCTTTAGTACAGAGATCGATGGCGACCTGAGGGTCAATCTCTCCTTTCAGCTTCAGGATCTTCCCGATCCAGTTGCCTGTCAGGAAGGTGAAGTCTGGGAAGCTCTGGTGAACGGTTCCCCTGTGGGGGGAGAAGAGAACAGAAGAAGAATACTTGAGTGTCCATTATAATTTTCACATCACAGAAATATATTTATTTTCGATTAACCCAACTTCCTGAGAAACACATGCACGCACACACACACACACACACAGACCCTGCGGAGTCCAAAGCCAGGGTCAGCCACAGAAGCAAAAAGGACAACACAAATGTCATGATGTGCTTCTCACATACAGTGCATTCGGAAAGTATTCTGACGCATTGACTTTTTCCACATTTTTTGTTACGTTAGTTTTCTTCTAAAATTGATTAAAGAAAAAAATATCCTCATCAATCTACACACAATTCCCCATAATGACAAAGTGAAAACAGATTTTTAGAAATTTTTTGTAATCTATTAAAAATAAAAAACATACCTTATTTACATAAGTATTCAGACCCTTTGCTATGAGACACAAAATTGAGCTCAGGTGCATCCTGTTTCCATTGATAATCCTTGAGATGTTTCTACAACTTGATTGGAGTGCACATGTGGCAAATTCAAATGATTGGACATGATTTGGAAAGGCACACACCTGTCTATATAAGGTCCCACTGTTGACAGTGCATGTCAGAGCAGAAACCAAGCCATGACGTCAAAGGAATTGTCCATAGAGCTCGGAGACAGGATTGTGTCGAGGCAGAGATCTGGGGAAGGGTACCAAAACATTTCTGCAGCATTGAAGGTACCCAAGAACACAGTGGCCTCCATCATTCTTAAATTGAAGAAGTTTGGAACCACCAAGACGCATCCTAGAGCTGGCCGCCCAGCCAAACTGAGCAATCGGGGGAGAAGGGCCATGGTCAGGGAGGTGACCAAGAACCCGATGGTCACTCTGACAGAGCTCCAGAGTTCCTCTGTGGAGATGGAAGAAACTTCCAGAAGGACAACCATCTCTGCAGCACTCCACCAATCAGGCCTTTATGGTAGAGGGGCCAGACGAAAGCCACTCCTTAGTAAAAGGCACATGACAGCCCGCTTGGAGTTTGCCAAAAGGCACCTAAAGACTCTCAGACCATGCGAAACAAGATTCTCTGGTCTGATGAAACCAAGATTGAACTCTTTGGCCAAGTGTCACGTCTGGAGGAAACCTGGCACCATCCCTACGGTGAAGCATGGTGGTGGCAGCATCATGCTATGGTTATCTCAGTAATGGCACCGGAGGGGATGGCTGCCGTTTTATGGACTCTTAACCAACCGTGCTCTTTTGTGTGTTTTTTCGCATTGTTTTTAACTTATTTTGTACACAATGTTGCTTCTACCGTCTCTTATGACCGAAAATAGCTTCTGGACATCAGAACAGCGATTACTCACCTTGAACTGGACGAATCATTTTTATTTTATGAGTCGGACAATTTGCTCCAGACACCCGACAGGGCCCTCATCCCCGTCATTCGGAGTAGAAAGAAAAGGAGATATCGCGGAAGGAGATCGGGGTGCTTGGTAAGGAGCCGGCGACAAATTGCTAATCTGCCTTTGCCATTGATACTACTGGCCAACTTACAATCGCTTGATAATAAAATGGACGAACATCCTACCAACGGGACATTAAAAACTGTAATATCCTATGTTTCACAGAGTTGTGGCTGAACGATGACATGAATAACATATAGATGGCGGGTTATACACTGTATCGGCAGAATAGAACGGCAGCCTCTGGTAAGACAAGGGGTGGCGGTTAGGGGTGTAACGATTCGTTTTAACAACGATTCGATTTGTATCACGATTCGTGGTTGTCGATACGATTCAAGGACGATATTGGTTCATTTAGAACGATACGATCCGAAACGATTCAGTGACTTGAAATCGATTCAGTAACCTTTTAGCCAAAAATTCAACCAGTGTGACTGAAATAAATACCTGGTAACCAGTTGCATTTTAATGGCTGGCAATAGTCTTGATATTTTTAACAGTGTTTCATGCCTCCATGCAGACCATCTGGTATTATGAAACTTACCCAGTTCCACAAAGGAGATCCCATTTTCTTCACATAGCTTTATTCAGTGCAGCAGTTTTTTTTGCTCCACCTTTTTGTAAATAAAACTGCAGCAGCTTGACCACAGAGCGATGAAATGTCTCACAGTAAGGAACGTTGCGATCAGCTGATTTCGCGCAATTCTCCAGTGTGTGTGCGGTGCACAGAATGTGCACAAGGGAGTCTCCAACCGCAGCATGTTGCCGGAGTATGGAAAGAGAAAAATATTAAACAGAGCTTGCCGCTGTTCTTCATTCAGCTTGTCTCGCCATCTGGCAAGTGGGCGACTGGACATTTATTCTCGGCTAGCTTTTAGCAATGGCTTGCGCCACATTCGTGTGCTCCTTGCTCTTTTCATGTTTGTCAAATAAAGGATGGTTGAAATTCTTTGAGCCTTTATAAAATGCACCTGTTTTGTCTGCTAGATGTGGATTTGAGCGGCAAATCTTGCACCACATTTCAGTGCGCTCATCGTTAGCTTCAAGCCACTGCACATCTTGGAGCCACTTTTCCGAAAAAAGTATTTTCTTCGGCTCTGGCTCCAGTTGGCGTTTCTTTGTAGGTGGCGAAACGCCAAAGAAGCTGCTTAATGTCTGTTGCTTTTTGGACATCCCTGACAGTAGTTGACAAGCAACATGTCATGTGTAAGGTTAGATGAGAAGATCGGTCAAGTACGCAAAGGCGCGTAGTAACACAAGTGGCATTACGCATTCCTGATTTTTGTCGCGCTTGCGTATCTGCGTACCAGTTATGTGCACCCCTGCATATAAAGTCTGACGTGCTTAAATCCAATGGGTTATTTCCTAGTATCGATACAATCGATTTATTACATTTTAAAACGATGTTAGATCGATATATGTTGTCCAAAAGGCCAACTCGCCGAGCACAGATCGATGTAGTTGGATCATATGAATATAAATCGATACATCGATGTAGTAGATGGATCGTTACACCCCTAGTGGCGGTCTATGTATATTTGTAAACAACAGCTGGTGCACGATATCTAAGGAAGTCTCAAGGTTTTGCTCGCCTGAGGTAGTATCTTATGATAAGCTGTAGACCACACTACCTACCAAGAGAGTTTATCTATATTTTCGTAACTGTCTATTTACCACCACAAACCGATGCTGGCACTAAGACCGCACTCAATGAACTGTATACGGCCATAAGCAAACAGGAAAACGCTAATCCAGAGGCAGCGCTCCTAGTGGCCGGGGACTTTAATGCAGGGAAACTTAAATCCGTTTTAACTCATTTCTACCAGCATGTTAAATGTGCAAGCAGAGGGAAAAAAACTCTAGACCACCTTTACTCCACACACAGAGACACGTACAAATCTCCCTCGCCCTAAATTTGGAAGATCTGACCATAATTCTATCCTCATGATTCCTGCTTACAAGCAAAAACTAAAGCAGGAAGCACCAGTGTCTCGGTCAATAAAAAAGTGGTCAGATGAAGCAGATGCTAAGCTACAGAACTTTTTTGCTAGCACAGACTGGAATATGTTCCGGGATTCTTCCGATGGCATTGAGGAGTACACCACATCAGTGCATCGATGATGTCGTCCCCACAGTGACTGTACGTACATACCCCAACCAGAAGCCATGGATAACAGGCAACATCCGCACTGAGCTAAAGGGTAGAGCTGCCGCTTTCAAGGAGCGGGACTCTAACCCGGAAGCTTATAAGAAATCCCTCTATGCCCTCCGACGAACCATCAAACAGGCAAAGCGTCAATACAGGACTAAGATCGAATCGTACAACACCGGCTCCGAAGCTCGCTGGATGTGGCAGGGCTTGCAAACTACTACAGACTACAAAGGGAAGCACAGCCGAGAGCTGCCCAGTGACACGAGCCTACCAGAGGAGCTAAACCACTTCTATTCTCGCTTCGAGGCAAGTAACACTGAAACATGCATGAGAGCATCAGCTGTTCCGGACGACTGTGTGATCACGCTCTTTGTAGCCGATGTGAGTAAGACCTTTAAACAGGTCAACATTCACAAGGCCGCAGGGCCAGACGGATTACCAGGACGTGTACTCTGAGCATGCGCTGACCAACTGGCAAGAGTCTTCACTGACATTTTCAACCTCTCCCTGTCTGAGTCTGTAATACCAACATGTTTCAAGCAGACCACCATAGTCCATGTGCCCAAGAACACTAGGGTAACCTGCCTAAATGACTACCGACCCGTAGCACTCTCGTCTGTAGCCATGAAGTGCTTTGAAAGGCTGGTCATGGCTCACATCAACACCATTATCACAGAAACCCTAGACCCACTCCAATTTGCATATCGCCCAACAGATCCACAGATGATGCAATCTCTATTGCGCTCCACACTGCCCTTTCACACCTGGACAAAAGGAACACCTATGTGAGAATGCTATTCATTGTCGACAGCTCAGCGTTCAACACCATAGTGCCCTCAAAGCTCATCACTAGGCTAAGGACCCTGGGACTAAACACCTCCCTCTGCAACTGGATCCTGGACTTCCTGATGGGCCGCCCCCAAGTGGTAAGGGTAGGTAACAACACATCCGCCACGCTGATCCTCAACACGGGTGCCCCTCAGGGGTGCATGCTCAGTCCCCTCCTGTACTCCCTGTTCACTCATGACTGCATGGCCAGGCACAACTCCAACACCATCATTAAGTTTGCCGATGACACAACAGTGGTAGGCATGATCACCGACAACGATGAGACAGCCTATAGGGAGGAGGTCAGAGACCTGGCTGTGTGGTGCCAGAACAACAACCTCTCCCTCAACGTGATCAAGACAAAGGAGATGATTGTGGACTACAGGAAAAATAAGAGGACCGAGCAGGAACAGGTTGAGAGCTTCAAGTCCACATCACCAACAAACTAACATGGTCCAAGCACACCAAGACAGTCGTGAAGAGGGCACAACAAAACCTATTCCCCCTAAGGAGACTGAAAATATTTGGCATGGGTCCTCAGATCCTCAAAAGGTTCTACAGCTGCACCATCGAGAGCATCCTGACTGGTTGCATCACTGCCTGGTATGGCAACTGCTCGGCCTCCGACCGCAAGGTACTACAGAGGGTAGTGCGTACGGCCCAGTACATCACTGGGGCCAAGCTTCCTGCCATCCAGGACCTCTACCAGGTGATGTCAGAGGAAGGCCCTAAAAATTGTCAAAGACTCCAGATACCCTAGTCATAGACTGTTCTCTCTGCTACCGCACGGCAAGCGGTCCCGGAGCGCCAAGTCTAGGTCCAAGAGGCTTTTAAACAGCTTCTACCCCCAAGCCATAAGACTCCTGAACATCTAATCAAATGGCTACCCAGACTATTTGCATTGCCCCCACCCCTCTTTTACGCTGCTGCTACTCTGTTTATTATCTATGCATAGTCACTTTAATAACTCTACCTACATGTACATATTACCCCAAATACCTCGACTAACCGGTGCACCCGCACACTGACTCTGTACCGGTACCCCCCTGTATATAGCCTCGCTATTGTTGTTTTTACTGCTGCTCTTTAATTATTTGTTACTTTTATTTCATATTATTTTATATTGTATTATTTGATTTTGGTATTCTTTCCGCATTGTTGGTTAAGGGCTTTTAAGCATTTCCCTGTAAGGTCTAGACCTGTTGTATTCGGAGCATGTGACAAATAAAATTTGATTTGATGTTTTTCAGCGGCAGGGACTGGGAGACCAGTCAGGATCGAGGGAAAGATTAACGGAGCAAAGTACAGAGAGATATTTGATGAAAACCTGCTCTAGCACTCTCAGGACCTCAGACTGGGGCGAAGGTTCACCTTCCAACAGGACAACAATCCTAAGCACACAGCCAAGACAATGCAGTAGTGGCTTCGGGACAAGTGACTGACTGAATGTCCTTGAGTGGCCCAGCCAGAGCCCGGAATTGAACCCGATTGAACATCTCTAGAGAGACCTGAAAATAGCTGTGCAGCAACGCTCCCCATCCAACCTGACAGAGCTTGAGAGGATCTGCAGAGAAGAATGAGAGAAACTCCCCAAATACAGGTGTGCCAAGCATGTAGCATAATACCCAAGAAGACTCAAGGCTGTAATTGCTGCCAAAGGTGCTTCGACAAAGTACTGAGTAAAGGCTCTGAATACTTATGTAAAATGTCATATTTCAGTTTTAAAATTTTAATAAATGAGCACAAATTTCTAAAAACCTGTTTTTGCATTGTCATTGTCATGATGAGGAAAAACAACAATTTAATCAATTTTAGCATAAGGCTGTAAATTAACAAAATGTTGAAGTCAAGGGGTCAGAATATTTTCCGAATGCACTGTAAAAATTGAGGTAAATGTGTGTTCTTTGGATTGTGAATTGTAACATTGGACTGTGAAAATAAGTTCCTCCTTTGAGAACAACACACAACTCTGAGGTTTTTCTTGCACTGATAGACTGGTTTCAAATCAGGAAGTGGTTTTGTAAGTGCCAGACACGAGATAAACGACAGCAGACCAGAGTGGATTCAGAGAAAGTGTTTGTTTTGTTTGGTCTTTTGTGCACAGATCAACTAAACCAAATAGGTGTGGAAAACTAATCGAATCTATCGTCTTTCACATGTCATCTCAGTCACAATGAATGTATACTCTTTCCGTACTTAATGGTGACCATTTTCCTCTGCGTGGAGGTGGAGTCAGGTGGTACCAGTTTCCTCATGCGCATGATGTTCCCGGCCCACTGGAACTTCTCAGAGTTGATGAAGAAGATGGGCTGCTTTACCCTGACGTTGATCTCCTCATCCAGGGGGAGCATCCACGAGTCCAGGGCAATGCCACACCTGAGGAGATCAACAGTATATACACTGAACAAAAATATAAACGCAACATGTAAAGTGTTGGATTCATGAGCAGAAATAAAAAGATCCCAGAAATATTCCACACGAACAAAAAGCTTATTTCTCTCAGATTGCGCACAAATTTGTTGTTGTGTCACACAACACAATGCCACAAGTTGAGGGAGCGTGCAATTGGTATGCTGACTATAGGAATGTCCACCAAAGCTGTTGCCAGAGAATTGAATGTTAATTTCTCTACCACAAGCCGTCTCCAACCTAATGTTAGAGAACCGCAGAGGACGTGTAACCACACCAGCCCAGGACCTCCACATCTGGCTTCTTTACCTGCGGGATCGTCTGAGACCAGCCATCCGGACAGCTGATGAAACTGTGGATTTGCACAACGAAAAATTTCTGCACAAACTGTCATAAACCTTCTTAGGGAAGCTCATCTGCATGCTTGTCGTCCTCACTAGGGTCTTCACCTGATTGCAGTTTGGCGTCGTAACCAACTTTTGTGGGAAAATGCTCACCTTCGATGGCCACTGACATCCTGGAGAAGTGTGCTCTTCACTGATCAATCCCGGTTTCATCTCTACCGGGCAGATGGCGACAAAGTTTGGGCTGAGGCTAAACATAAACAGGATGCGGTACCGTATAAAGGAACAGTCCAGCAGGCATCAGCTGTATAGCTGAGTTATCATAAGGTCCGGTGAACAGCAATAGGAGAGTTCGGAGGTAGTTCGGGGGCTGCTATAGCACTGGCGAGCAAGAGGCCATGGCTAGCGTGTGCTAGCGGGCCGGGGCTAGCAGATGGATCTTCGTGGTCGATGTCGTAACGGGAAGCCTGTTGTGACCACATCAGACGATTTCGTCGGCAGACCAGTCGTGTTGGATCGGCGGGGCTCCATGTCAACACTAGGAGGTCCTGTGGGGATCTATTTTCTAATAATTGGATCCGTATGTGATGAATAGCTTAGAAGGAATGCATTAATGATAAGCATAGAAGGTTTGTACTATACTGATATAAATTGTTTCACATAACCAGCTGTGATTCATGTGAGGAACGTTAGGGGATAGGACAGATAAGACTTGTATTTCTTACAGATACGAACACTGCCTCTTTGTTGTCTTTGAACCGTCCTTGAACGTAGGTACAGCAGAATGGTGTTTTTTGGGTGCTGACACAGGTTGTTATGATAAAAACTTATGCCTGGCAACAGTGTGCAACAAGTGGAGGTTTGTTATGATAAAAACGTATGCCTGGCAACAGTGTGCAACAAGTGGAGCGCCAAGGGCCTGGGACCAGCCGGTGCGCCAACGGATTGGCTGAGTAAGTCTAAACCACGCTCAGTCTCTACTCTGATTGGCCAGCAGGGAGTGGGAAATATCTCTGTCAGAGTATTTGAAGAAGGACCTGTAACAATGGATTAGTTCTCTGAGTGCCCTGCGTGGTATTTCAGTGGACCCGTATATACAAACCTTCATACTTATCATACATACATTTTGCATATAATAAATGTAGCTTGGATTGAATATCTCTTGATTATGTTTGATTCTTATTCCAATACCAGATTATGAATTACGCAATTTCTAGCAGTCCCGTCCGGTTGACAGAGAGGTAGAGAGCCGGGAGATGGGCCTGGCTCAATGCTAGCTCAAGGCTGATTAGCCAACATCAACATTCATTTGGTTGCAGCTAGCTTGTTGCGATGATCCGGTGTTAAAGGTCCAGTGATTCAGTGATTCCGGCAGAAAAACCGATATGTTCTAGGTCGATATCGCGCTGTGCAGACAGTGCAGACTGGCTGATAATAGTCCACGCTAGAGCTGGCTGGTAGGTAGGTAGTGCAGGCCACGGACATTGGTGAAAAACCGCTAACAGTGGCTAATAGCAAGTAGCTAGTTAGCTGGCTACTCCCGTCCGGTAGACAGAGAGATAGATAGCCGGGATATGGGCCTGACTCGAGGCTAGCTCAAGGCTAACTGGTGCTTGCTTCGGGGGCTGTGGTGATTAGCCAAACAGCAACATCCATTCGGTTGCAGCTAGCTAGTTGCGATCCGGTGTTAATATCCAGTGATTCAGTTATTCCAGCAGAAAATCAGATGTTCTGGGGGAAAACCGCTAACGGTGGCTAATAGCAAGTAGCTAGTTAGCTGGCTAGCTAATTTAAACTGGAGATTCTAGATAAAAGGTAAGTCAATAATAGAATCCGTTCCACATTGAGTGAGGCGGGTAGCAGGAAAGTATATTTTGTAGAAGGATGAAAAGTGTGATAGGGAAATATGTACGAAAAATACAAAAAAATACAAAAAAATACAAAAAACAGGCTATTTACACAGACACACAACAAAGAACACGACCGCACTGCTACGCCATCTTGGTATACTCACTCATTATTCACGATTCATTCAGGACTATCCGTAATTATGGTAGCATCCACATGAAGTGTTTTATAAACATTCTATTCATATTTACAATAGATGTGACTCCGAAATGACACAACACATTATTTACCATTAATTTCTATTGGGCACAAAATTATATGAAACACAACCAAAACAAACAGCAAATGCATCCAACGAGTTTGTGAATATGTACAAAAAGTGCTATAATTACTAAACGGTTCACCCAATATGGAGGTAAATACCCTCAAATTAAAGCTGACAGTCTGCACTTTAACCTTGTAGTCATTGTTTAATTTCAAATCCAAAGTGCTGGAGTACAGAGCCAAAATGAATATATATCACTGTCCCAATACCTTTGGAGCTCACTGTACATGCCCTCAAGGATTGAAGGCAGGCGAGATCAGGTGGGACCATTTTAGCCAATGAGAGGGTAGATATGCGTGTAAATAAGAGGCACAACTAAGCCGTTTTTCTCAAAGTTGCCGGAATGCCACGTGCATCCACTTATATCAGTACAGTAACAGTAAACATTACAAAACGTCTATTAGATCAAATAAGCCTCACGTAATTTGACACTCTGAAAGACCTCCATCCAAAAACAGTGCTTATCTAACGCTGACAGATTTTGGGCTAAGTAAATCCTCTCGCTTCGCCTGTTCCTCTCCGTTTAAACAAATGTCTTATTTTTCCTGATCTTCTCTGATTTCCTGACCACATCCCTGCCCTCACCTTTCTCCCATACAGAAGTTGTGATGTCACAGGTGACGCATCTCACCCTGAGAGTGGAGGAGAAATGCGCCGATGACGTCATCTTTGTGTCAGAGACTCGGCCCACCCAGGAACCGCTGGAGCAGTAGCCAAAGATGAAGCCAGTCCAGTGACTAGTGTGTTGTGCAGGCATACACTGAAAGTTCTATTCCAGGTTATATTCTGGGACGTTTATCAATTATTCTGTTCAGTGACAATTTGTTGTCAGTTCAATGGCATTTTATTGGCATTTGCATTATAAATAAATAAATTGGTCATTTAGCAGACGCTCTTATCCAGAGCGACTTACAGGAGCTATTAGGATTAAGTGCCTTGCTCAAGGGCACATCGACAGGTTTTTCACCTAGTCGGCTCGGGGATTAGAACCAGCGACCTTTCAGTTACTGGCACAACGCTCTTAACCACTAAGCTACCTGCCGCCCCATTCTGTGTCCAGCATTATCTTTCAGGTTATTTAGTCATTTGCTTTGCTTTTTCCTTTTGTTGTTACTTAATCACCCATGTTCACGTCATTTGACTAAAGTTAGCCATTCGTCTGCTGATCAGAAATGCCTCGGGGCTTGTCAATTTTTCAAAACGATTTGGTGCTATGGACAATCTGTCAAATAAGACGACACCATTTTAGGATGGTTGTTGACATATTTGTTTCATCAGTAGTTCTAAACAGAACTCTTTCATCCATGGCTTTTATACCAGACTTGTGCATTTATGGAACAATGCAAGATTGATATGTTTAAAATCTTTTTGTAATGTTTCATTTTTGTAATTTTGCCAGTGTTTCAAAAATAAAGCACTATATTTACATATTCCATTATTGTTGAAGTTAGAAAATCTGACATTTTCAATGTGAAAGCCTTTGTTGAATTTAATTATACAAAGTCACAATGTTTGTTCCTGTAAAAAAAAATTTGAAATGTGCAGTGAGAACTGAGAATGTTTTTGTTTTGTTTACACAATACATAATCTTGCACTTCCTTCCAGTCATTTTCTTAGTCTTTACAGCAGCTGTTAAGATCTTGTCATACCACCACATCTACAATGTCCTCCACAATCTAGTGTAGAATGCAAGCTACAGCTATGACATTCCAGAACGTTACTAGAAAGTGATGGTTCAAAATCTTCACATAGGACCTTATGATCATATTTCTCACCACATAATTGTCATTGATAAAGGACACAAATACTCGATGTTCACAGTATCCATTTATAGTTGTATACAAATTAGACGCATTGGATTACAGTAGTGTAAAAATGAAAAACATGGAAATGAAGGCTAGAAAATAAGCTGTTACATTTGAGTGTTCCAGGGTTGTATTTATTAGGGCAGTTTCCCAACTCCAGTACCCCAAACAGCACACATTGTTGAGGCCCAGACAAGCACACCTGATTCAACTTGTCAACTAATCATCAAGCCCTCTAAGTTGAATCAGTTTGTCCGGGGCTACAACAAAAATGTGTGCTGTTGGGGATACTCGAGGAGTTGGGAAACTGCATTAGTTTTCCAACAGAAAACGGAAAGGAGCGTTTCTCATTGGACAAGTTCAGGTTGTTTTAGTGAGTTTTCCGTTTGGTGACTAACAAAAACAACCCAGGAGGAAGAACAAAGGTAGGCTGCTGTAGGGTAAGGCACATGACATATTTATGGCTCTGGTTCAAAGGAATCAAGAAACATCTCATCCTTTGTGAGCGAAGTGTCATCAATTTGTTAGATTCTTGTTGCATCTTCGCTACATTATCTCAATCTGTATTCTGTGCAATCATGCTAAATAATATATTTAACCAAAGTCATAATCACATGAACCATCTGGGGGTTATAAAATGAAATCTTTGAACTATATTAACAAAGACTCCTTGATCAACTAAATGTCTAAACCGTACTCTTGTATAATATCCCATACAGGTGTATAATCGCATAGCACACTGCAACCACAATTTGGTTCAGGTACAAAGATACTGATGAGTACAGCAAATTGTGTTCTTAGCTGCTCTATATACATACTATGAAACTAAAAAAGCTGTTTATCCCAATACTTGGAGATATACCCCCTCTCCAAGCAATCATAATTTGTTACTGGTAAAGATTGCCTGTAGTAGAAATTGCTTTGAATTGATTTTACATTTTGTCCATGATGAAACAATTTCAAGGCTCAGTGCAGCAAATATTGTCACCTTGAGTTCAGCTAGTGGTATTGTGTAAAGTCCAAAGTTTAGATGGAACTGAACTAAGGTATTTCTGTGACATTGGTGCCTGGAATGAGGTTGTCGTCCTTGCCCTCTATTAGATGGTCCCATTGATTGAAGTCTTTATCCATACCTGCAAAACAAAGGCAAACACAATTGACACAAGGAAATTACTTTGCTTCCTCTGTTTTATCAAATGAAAAAACATTCAGAAGGAAATAATCTCCCGCACACAGAATGACATTTGAACATGTCTGATGCACCTGTTGAAGTTGCCTGGTCACCCGAAATAGAATTGTCGGGCAGAAATGAGCGTTTGAATCAGGAAAGGACCAACCGGTAAAGTACGTTAAAATACAATTTGATTAAACATTCTAGCTTGTAGAGGTTGTGAGAGGAAACTTTCCTGATTCAAATGCTCATTTCTGCCCAACGTAGAATGCAATTCAACATTGGGTTTCCAGGCAACTGTTGAAGCAACCCTTGTTTACAAATCAAATGTACACCATACAGATCCTTACCTAGATGTCGCTGCAGGAACGCTAGCGATGCTTTAGTACAGAGATCGATGGCGACCTGAGGGTCAATCTCTCCTTTCAGCTTCAGGATCTTCCCGATCCAGTTGCCTGTCAGGAAGGTGAAGTCTGGGAAGCTCTGGTGAACGGTTCCCCTGTGGGGGGAGAAGAGAACAGAAGAAGAATACTTGAGTGTCCATTATAATTTTCACATCACAGAAATATATTTATTTTCGATTAACCCAACTTCCTGAGAAACACATGCACGCACACACACACACAGACCCTGCGGAGTCCAAAGCCAGGGTCAGCCACAGAAGCAAAAAGGACAACACAAATGTCATGATGTGCTTCTCACATACAGTGCATTCGGAAAGTATTCTGACGCATTGACTTTTTCCACATTTTGTTACGTTAGTTTTCTTCTAAAATTGATTAAAGAGAAAAATATCCTCATCAATCTACACACAATTCCCCATAATGACAAAGTGAAAACAGATTTTTAGAAATTTTTTGTAATCTATTAAAAATAAAAAACATACCTTATTTACATAATATTCAGACCCTTTGCTATGAGACACGAAATTGAGCTCAGGTGCATCCTGTTTCCATTGATAATCCTTGAGATGTTTCTACAACTTGATTGGAGTGCACATGTGGTAAATTCAAATGATTGGACATGATTTGGAAAGGCACACACCTGTCTATATAAGGTCCCACTGTTGACAGTGCATGTCAGAGCAGAAACCAAGCCATGACGTCGAAGGAATTGTCCATAGAGCTCGGAGACAGGATTGTGTCGAGGCAGAGATCTGGGGAAGGGTACCAAAACATTTCTGCAGCATTGAAGGTACCCAAGAACACAGTGGCCTCCATCATTCTTAAATTGAAGAAGTTTGGAACCACCAAGACGCATCCTAGAGCTGGCCGCCCAGCCAAACTGAGCAATCGGGGGAGAAGGGCCATGGTCAGGGAGGTGACCAAGAACCCGATGGTCACTCTGACAGAGCTCCAGAGTTCCTCTGTGGAGATGGAAGAAACTTCCAGAAGGACAACCATCTCTGCAGCACTCCACCAATCAGGCCTTTATGGTAGAGGGGCCAGACGAAAGCCACTCCTCAGTAAAAGGCACATGACAGCCCGCTTGGAGTTTGCCAAAAGGCACCTAAAGACTCTCAGACCATGAGAAACAAGATTCTCTGGTCTGATGAAACCAAGATTGAACTCTTTGGCCAAGTGTCACGTCTGGAGGAAACCTGGCACCATCCCTACGGTGAAGCATGGTGGTGGCAGCATCATGCTATGGTTATCTCAGTAATGGCACCGGAGGGGATGGCTGCCGTTTTATGGACTCTTAACCAACCGTGCTCTTTTGTGTGTTTTTTCGCATTGTTTTTAACTTCTTTTGTACACAATGTTGCTGCTACCGTCTCTTATGACCGAAAAGAGCTTCTGGACAGCGATTACTCACCTTGAACTGGACGAATAATTTTTATTTTATGAGTCGGACAATTTGCTCCAGACACCCGACAGGGCCCTCATCCCCGTCATTCGGAGTAGAAAGAAAAGGAGATATCGCGGAAGGAGATCGGGGTGCTTGGTAAGGAGCCGGCGACAAATGGCAAATCTGCCTTTGCCATTGATACTACTGGCCAACTTACAATCGCTTGATAATAAAATGGACGAACATCCTACCAACGGGACATTAAAAACTGTAATATCCTATGTTTCACCGAGTTGTGGCTGAACGATGACATAAATAACATATAGATGGCGGGTTATACACTGTATCGGCAGGATAGAACGGCAGCCTCTGGTAAGACAAAGGGTGGCGGTCTATGTATATTTGTAAACAACAGCTGTTTGCTCGCCTGAGGTAGAGTATCTTATGATAAGCTGTAGACCACACTACCTACCAAGAGAGTTTATCTATATTTTCGTAACTGTCTATTTACCACCACAAACCGATGCTGGCACTAAGACCGCACTCAATGAACTGTATACGGCCATAAGCAAACAGGAAAACGCTAATCCAGAGGCGGCGCTCCTAGTGGCCGGGGACTTTAATGCAGGGAAACTTAAATCCGTTTGAACTAATTTCTATCAGCATGTTAAATGTGCAAGCAGAGGGAAAAAAACTCTAGACCACCTTTACTCCACACACAGAGACACGTACAAAGCTCTCCCTCGCCCTAAATTTGGAAAATCTGACCATAATTCTATCCTCATGATTCCTGCATACAAGCAAAAACTAAAGCAGGAAGCACCAGTGTCTCGGTCAATAAAAAAGTGGTCAGATGAAGCAGATGCTAAGCTACAGAACTTTTTTGCTAGCACAGACTGGAATATGTTCCGGGATTCTTCCGATGGCATTGAGGAGTACACCACATCAGTGCATCGATGATGTCGTCCCCACAGTGACTGTACGTACATACCCCAACCAGAAGCCATGGATTACAGGCAACATCCGCACTGAGCTAAAGGGTAGAGCTGCCGCTTTCAAGGAGCGGGACTCTAACCCGGAAGCTTATAAGAAATCCCTCTATGCCCTCCGACGAACCATCAAACAGGCAAAGCGTCAATACAGGACTAAGATTGAATCGTACAACACCGGCTCCGAAGCTCGCCGGATGTGGCAGGGCTTGCAAACTATTACAGACTACAAAGGGAAGCACAGCCGAGAGCTGCCCAGTGACACGAGCCTACCAGACGAGCTAAATTACTTATATTCTCGCTTCGAGGCAAGTAACACTGAAACATGCATGAGAGCATCAGCTGTTCCGGACGACTGTGTGATCACGCTCTCCGTAGCCGATGTGAGTAAGACCTTTAAACAGGTCAACATTCACAAGGCCGCAGGGCCAGACGGATTACCAGGACGTGTACTCTGAGCATGCGCTGACCAACTGGCAAGTGTCTTCACTGACATTTTCAACCTCTCCCTGTCTGAGTCTGTAATACCAACATGTTTCAAGCAGACCACCATAGTCCATGTGCCCAAGAACACTAGGGTAACCTGCCTAAATGACTACCGACCCATAGCACTCTCGTCTGTAGCCATGAAGTGCTTTGAAAGGCTGGTCATGGCTCACATCAACACCATTATCACAGAAACCCTAGACACACTCCAATTTGCATATCGCCCAACAGATCCACAGATGATGCAATCTCTATTGCGCTCCACACTGCCCTTTCACACCTGGACAAAAGGAACACCTATGTGAGAATGCTATTCATTGTCGACAGCTCAGCGTTCAACACCATAGTGCCCTCAAAGCTCATCACTAAGCTAAGGACCCTGGGACTAAACACCTCCCTCTGCAACTGGATCCTGGACTTCCTGATGGGCCACCCCCAAGTGGTAAGGGTAGGTAACAACACATCCGCCACGCTGATCCTCAACACGTGTGCCCCTCAGGGGTGCATGCTCAGTCCCCTCCTGTACTCCCTGTTCACTCATGACTGCATGGCCAGGCACAACTCCAACACCATCATTAAGTTTGCCGATGACACAACAGTGGTAGGCATGATCACCGACAACGATGAGACAGCCTATAGGGAGGAGGTCAGAGACCTGGCTGTGTGGTGCCAGAACAACAACCTCTCCCTCAACGTGATCAAGACAAAGGAGATGATTGTGGACTACAGGAAAAATAAGAGGACCGAGCAGGAACAGGTTGAGAGCTTCAAGTCCACATCACCAACAAACTAACATGGTCCAAGCACACCAAGACAGTCGTGAAGAGGGCACAACAAAACCTATTCCCCCTAAGGAGACTGAAAATATTTGGCATGGGTCCTCAGATCCTCAAAAGGTTCTACAGCTGCACCATCGAGAGCATCCTGACTGGTTGCATCACTGCCTGGTATGGCAACTGCTCGGCCTCCGACCGCAAGGTACTACAGAGGGTAGTGCGTACGGCCCAGTACATCACTGGGGCCAAGCTTCCTGCCATCCAGGACCTCTATACCAGGTGGTGTCAGAGGAAGGCCCTAAAAATTGTCAAAGACTCCAGATACCCTAGTCATAGACTGTTCTCTCTGCTACCGCACGGCAAGCGGTCCCGGAGCGCCAAGTCTAGGTCCAAGAGGCTTTTAAACAGCTTCTACCCCCAAGCCATAAGACTCCTGAACATCTAATCAAATGGCTACCCAGACTATTTGCATTGCCCCCACCCCTCTTTTACGCTGCTGCTACTCTGTTTATTATCTATGCATAGTCACTTTAATAACTCTACCTACATGTACATATTACCCCAAATACCTCGACTAACCGGTGCACCCGCACACTGACTCTGTACCGGTACCCCCTGTATATAGCCTCGCTATTGTTGTTTTTACTGCTGCTCTTTAATTATTTGTTACTTTTATTTCATATTATTTTATATTGTATTATTTGATTTTGGTATTCTTTCCGCATTGTTGGTTAAGGGCTTTTAAGCATTTCCCTGTAAGGTCTAGACCTGTTGTATTCGGAGCATGTGACAAATAAAATTTGATTTGATGTTTTTCAGCGGCAGGGACTGGGAGACCAGTCAGGATCGAGGGAAAGATTAACGGAGCAAAGTACAGAGAGATATTTGATGAAAACCTGCTCTAGCACTCTCAGGACCTCAGACTGGGGCGAAGGTTCACCTTCCAACAGGACAACAATCCTAAGCACACAGCCAAGACAATGCAGTAGTGGCTTCGGGACAAGTGACCGACTGAATGTCCTTGAGTGGCCCAGCCAGAGCCCGGAATTGAACCCGATTGAACATCTCTAGAGAGACCTGAAAATAGCTGTGCAGCAACGCTCCCCATCCAACCTGACAGAGCTTGAGAGGATCTGCAGAGAAGAATGAGAGAAACTCCCCAAATACAGGTGTGCCAAGCATGTAGCATAATACCCAAGAAGACTCAAGGCTGTAATTGCTGCCAAAGGTGCTTCGACAAAGTACTGAGTAAAGGCTCTGAATACTTATGTAAAATGTCATATTTCAGTTTACATTTTTTAATAAATGAGCACAAATTTCTAAAAACCTGTTTTTGCATTGTCATTGTCATGATGAGGAAAAACAACAATTTAATCAATTTTAGCATAAGGCTGTAAATTAACAAAATGTTGAAGTCAAGGGGTCAGAATATTTTCCGAATGCACTGTAAAAATTGAGGTAAATGTGTGTTCTTTGGATTGTGAATTGTAACATTGGACTGTGAAAATAAGTTCCTCCTTTGAGAACAACACACAACTCTGAGGTTTTTCTTGCACTGATAGACTGGTTTCAAATCAGGAAGTGGTTTTGTAAGTGCCAGACACGAGATAAACGACAGCAGACCAGAGTGGATTCAGAGAAAGTGTTTGTTTTGTTTGGTCTTTTGTGCACAGATCAACTAAACCAAATAGGTGTGGAAAACTAATCGAATCTATCATCTTTCACATGTCATCTCAGTCACAATGAATGTATACTCTTTCCGTACTTAATGGTGACCATTTTCCTCTGCGTGGAGGTGGAGTCAGGTGGTACCAGTTTCCTCATGGGCATGATGTTCCCGGCCCACTGGAACTTCTCAGAGTTGATGAAGAAGATGGGCTGCTTTACCCTGACGTTGATCTCCTCATCCAGGGGGAGCATCCACGAGTCCAGGGCAATGCCACACCTGAGGAGATCAACAGCATATACACTGAACAAAAATATAAACGCAACATGTAAAGTGTTGGATTCATGAGCAGAAATAAAAAGATCCCAGAAATATTCCACACGAACAAAAAGCTTATTTCTCTCAGATTGCGCACAAATTTGTTTACATCCCTGTTAGTATTTCTCCTTTGCCAAGATAATCCATCCACCAGACAGGCGTGGTATATCAAGAAGCTGATTAAACAGCATGATCATTACACAGGTGCACCTTGTGCTGGAGACAAAAGGCCACTCTAAAACGTGCTGTTGTGTCACACAACACAATGCCACAAGTTGAGGGAGCGTGCAATTGGTATGCTGACTATAGGAATGTCCACCAAAGCTGTTGCCAGAGAATTGAATGTTAATTTCTCTACCACAAGCCGTCTCCAACCTAATGTTAGAGAACCGCAGAGGACGTGTAACCACACCAGCCCAGGACCTCCACATCTGGCTTCTTTACCTGCGGGATCGTCTGAGACCAGCCATCCGGACAGCTGATGAAACTGTGGATTTGCACAACGAAGAATTTCTGCACAAACTGTCATAAACCTTCTTAGGGAAGCTTATCTGCATGCTTGTCGTCCTCACTAGGGTCTTCACCTGATTGCAGTTTGGCGTCGTAACCAACTTTTGTGGGAAAATGCTCACCTTCGATGGCCACTGACATCCTGGAGAAGTGTGCTCTTCACTGATCAATCCCGGTTTCATCTGTACCGGGCAGATGGCAGACGGCGTGTATGGTGTCGTGTGGGCGAGAGGTTTGCCGATGTCAACGTTGTGAACAGAGTGCCCCATGGTGGCGGTGGGGTTATGTATGGGCCGGCATAAGCTACGGACAATGAACACAATTGCATTTTATCGATGGCAATTTTGAATGCACAGAGATACCATGACGAGATTGAGGCCGACTGTTGTGCCATTTATCCGTCGCCATCACCTCATGTTTCAGCATGATAATGCACGGCCCCATGTCGCAAGGATCTATACAATTCCTGGAAGCTGAAAATGTCCCAGTTCTTCAGACGTGTACGACAGCATGTTCCAGTTCCCGCCAATATCCAGCAAATTCGCACAGTCTTTGAAGAGGAGTGGGACAACATTCCACAGGCCACAATCAACAGCCTGATCAACTCTATGCGAAGGAGATGTGTCGCACTGCATGAGGCAAATGGTGGTCACACCAGATACTGACTGAATTTATGATCCACACCCTACTTTTTTTTTTAAAGGTATCTGTGACCAACAGATGCATTTCTGTATTCCCAGTCATGTGAAATCCATATATTAGAGCCTAATTAAATTTTTTCAATTGACTGATTTCCTTATATGAACTGTAACTCAGTAAAATCTTTGAAATTGTTGCATGTTGTGTTTATATTTTTGTTCATTGTACAACTAATATTATTGTGAGTTTGAGGGGTAGCCAAGAGATCCAAACCTCTTGACAAGTTATGTTAAAGGTCCAATGCAGCTGTTTTTATCTCAACATCAAATCATTTCTGGGTAACAATTAAGTACCTTACTGTGATTGTTTTCAATTAAATGGTAAAAAAAGAAACTAAAATTGCTTCTTAGCAAAGACTAATTTCTCAAGCAAGAATTTAACAACGACTGTGAGTGGGGAGGGGGAAACTGAAAACTAGCTGTTATTGGCAGAAAGGGTTGGAACTCTTTCTTTCTTATTGGTCATTATTGTCAGCAGGCCAAAACTCCAAACAGCTCTGACACTAAAAGGGCATTATCATAATTTCACAATTTCACAGTATTATTCCAACCTCATAGTGTGGAATTTTTTTTATAAAATACAGGGAAATCTTTGTTTTGTACTGCACTGGGCCTTAAAAACTGCAACATTTTATCTCAGCCTCATGACAAAATGTGTAGAATAGCATTATTATTGATATAATATGGTAACTTAGCAAGAGAGCTAGGGACTTGTGGGTCCTCTCTAGCACTTGAAAAACTGACTTATTGGTGTAAGCCAAACATCTAAAGGACTGGTCTGCAACATCACATTGAGGGTTGAGAAACACTGATTTAGTATACATTTTTATCCAAAGTGACACTGTACAATATATTTTCAGTATACAATATAGGACCATGGGGAATCAAACTCACAACTCTGGTGTTCAAGCACCACGTTCCAACCAACCATCGAAACCACATCTTAATGTGCCATTTAATTACTTTTGATTAAACTTTTGTCGAGAGAGAAATGTAATCTACATTTGAAAACTGAAACGACTGTTTAAATGTGACTAAATTGAGAGGGATAGCTCTTACTTGAAGTTGACCTCTTTGCAGAGGGCTTCGATCACTGTTGCTCCACCGAAAGAATGGCCCATCACTGCTATCCGGCACAAGTCCATAGAGTTCTGGGAAAGAGGAGATACAGGGTGATGTCATTCATTACCAGCATCATAGGATATGATTTGAAATGCCAGGGTATGATTCAAACAGAAGACAAGTAATCGTACTACAGGTTCATACACAAGTTAACTGAATACTAATCAATTGTTCACGCACAACTCTTAGGACCTGTTTTATTATCCAATGTGGAGGAATATGTAAAAACAGTTATCAAAAACTGTCAGGTGGAAGAATATCCCTTTAAAATCTGTCATTTAACTGATGAAAAACAGGTGGCCTTGGTTATTTTGTTTCCTCTACAAAAAAGGGGTTAAAGTGAGGGAAAAAAGTATTTGATCCCCTGCTGATTTTGTACGTTTGCCCACTGACAAAGACATGATCAGTCTATAATTGTAATGGTAGGTTTATTTGAACAGTGAGAGACAGAATAACAACAAAAAAATCCAGAAAAACACATGTCAAAAATGTTATAAATTGATTTGCATTTTAATGAGGGAAATAAGTATTTGACCCCTCTGCAAAACATGACTTAGTACTTGGTGGCAAAACCCTTGTTGGCAATCACAGAGGTCAGACGTTTCTTGTAGTTGGCCACCAGGTTTGCACAGATCTCAGGAGGGATTTTGTCCTACTCCTCTTTGCAGATCTTCTCCAAGTCATTAAGGTTTCGAGGCTGACGTTTGGCAACTCGAACCTTCAGCTCCCTCCACAGATTTTCTATGGGATTAAGGTCTGGAGACTGGCTAGGCCACTCCAGGACCTTAATGTGCTTCTTCTTGAGCCACTCCTTTGTTGCCTTGACTGTGTGTTTTGGGTCATTGTCATGCTGGAATACCCATCCACGACCCATTTTCCATGCCCTGGCTGAGGGAAGGAGGTTCTCACCCAAGATTTGACGGTACATGGCCCCGTCCATCGTCCCTTTGATGCGGTGAAGTTGTCCTGTCCCCTTAGCAGAAAAACACCCTCCAAAGCATCATATTTCCACCTCCATGTTTGACGGTGGGGATGGTGTTCATAGGCAGCATTCCTCCTCCTCCAAACACGGCGAGTTGAGTTGATGGCAAAGAGCTCGATTTTGGTCTCATCTGACCACAACACTTTCACCCAGTTCTCCTCTGAATCATTCAGATGTTCATTGGCAAACTTCAGACGGGCCTGTATATGTGCTTTCTTGAGCAGGGGGACCTTCTGGGCGCTGCAGGATTTCAGTCCTTCACAGCGTAGTGTGTTAACAATTGTTTTCTTGGTGACTATGGTCCCAGCTCCCTTGAGATCATTGACAAGATCCTCCCGCGTAGTTCTGGGCTGATTCCTCACCGTTCTCATGATCATTGCAACTCCACAAGCTGAGATTTGGAGCACTCCCTTTAAGAGTGTGCTCCTAATCTCAGCTCGTTACCTGTATAAAAGACACCTGGGAGCCAGAAATCTTTCTGATTGAGGGGGTTAAATACTTATTTCCCTCATTAAAATGCAAATCAATTTATAACATTTTTGACATGCGTTTTTATTGATTTTTTTGTTGTTATTCTGTCTCTCACTGTTCAAATAAACCTACCATTAAAATTATAGACTGATCATTTCTTTGTCAGTGGGCAAACGTACAAAATCAGCAGGGGATCAAATACTTTTTTCCCTCACTGTATAAAGGGTTTAAATTGGTGTGTTGTGAATAGGTTGAGCATTGTCTAAATGCAGTGTATTCAGCCATTTGCAACAGCAGAGAACACAAAAGTGTTAAAGAGCTGCTGATTGTTCCATTTCAGACATAAAAAGTCACCGCCAAAGTCATCCAGTCAAACTCTGTCCCAAGCACGTTCTCCATCTTCTTTCCTGAGTTGATTTGGATCAGTGTATCCAAAGCCTTTATGCATTCATCGGCTCTCTGTTTCACCTAGAAAGACAGTTAAATTACATGTAGAAAATTGAAATTGTCTTCCTAACAGAAGGCAATGCAAATGTGGAGAAATACAATATTCCACAATGTTATGGCAGTAGTGGTATTACATTCATGTCAAATGTATTACTCAAATGTAGGGTCCTGAGGAATGGATCAAACAAGCAGATAAAGAAATCTACACATTACATTGTATGTGACATATTCAATTCTGTATATTACTATGTGTACCTGTTTATTCCTGAGGGGGAATTCACTCTCGCCTGGTTTCAGAGACCTGTAGTACATCCATTCCTCTACCAGGTTCTCTGGGGCCTCAGGGTTGGGTTTAGTCGCCGACGCCTCTTCTTTCTCGTCAGGCTCTTCAGTCTTTCCATGGTAGAAGAATGTGGCAGCGGCAGATTCATCCCTAGAGTAAAACAACAAATAAGAAATATCTTTCAGCGGCACAAATACTGACATTCTATTATTTTGGTTGTTGTAAAATGCTGACAGACGCGCACAATTACACCGAAGTCCACAGCAGAAAGCTTAACCCCATGACAGGACAGGCGGGGTTAGGCCATAGAACAGCCATTCTGTTATCCATATAGTCCCAGCACTCCATACTGATAGAAATGTGATAACCTAGTTCGTACCATTGTCTGCACACCCTTCCCACTCCCACCCTCCCTGAGATAAACAGGCAGGCCGCTCACGCCTGCTGCCTATGTGGGGGAGACTGTCTGTGTATTTATGGAGAGTCCTTTGTCATTGTTAGCTTAAGTAAATGTAATGTCGACTGGAACATCCCTTCCTCTGTCCACTGGATTAGGGAGCGCTTTTCAAAGTCTCTTTTCATGAATGAAGTGGACAGAGACTGTGTGTAGAGAATGGGAGAGAGAGTGTGTAGAGAGCATGTGGAGTACCTGTGTTCCACTGCTGCCACTATGAAGCCCTGTGAGGCCAGTTCTGCGCATATGGCTGAATATAAAGTTCTGGGGGGAAAAGACGTAAGGCATAAAATAATGTCCATATCATATCATGTGGAGAATGTACAGTGCCTTTAGGAAGTATTCACACCCCTTTTTCCACATTTTGTTGTGTTACACGTGGGATTAAACTGGACAAATCGGTAACAAAGGAGTTGAATACTTATTGACTCAACATTTTTCAGCTTTCATTTTTAATTAATTTGTAAAAGTGTCAAAAAACATAAGTCCACTTTGACATTATGGAGTATTGTGTGTAGTAACCTCCCGAGTGGTTGGTAGAGCATTTGCAACGCCAGGGTTGTGGGTTCGATTCCCACGGGGGGCCAGTATGAAAAAATAAAAACAAATAATTTATGCACTCACTAACTGTAAGTCACTCTCGGATAAGAGCGTCTGCTAAATGACTAAAATGTAAATGTAGACCAGTGACACAAAATCTCAATTTAATCCATTTTAAATTCAGGCTGTAACATAATAAAATGTGGAAAAAGTCAAGGGGTCTGAATACTTTCTGAAGGCACTGTACATGTAATGTGAACAATAAATGATCACTTCTGTTTGTACCTGAAAGCACCAAGTCCATGAGAGAACACAACAACTGGACACTTCCCATTCTGTTTATACGGGGCATTCATGGCAGCAGGTATCTTAAAAGATCCTTTACAAAAAAACAGAAACAACATGTTATAACAACTCATACAGTTTGTGAGTAATTGAATAACATATACTGTACACTGCATAAAACATGGTACATCTAGCCTACCTGAGTTCCAGGATCACTATAGCTAAAAGAAACTAAATGTTAATGTATATCATAGAATAAACATATTTACCAAAGAGGTAATCAAAAATCTTTTCACTCAGGCCTCTGTTGATTTTCATGAAGTCTGCAAGCCCATTGAAATATTCTCTGCTTGGGATCCAGTCTGGTTTTTCAGCATCCTCGTATGCTACACATGGATAGTATAGCCGAAAGAAGGTGCCCTAGTGACAGACAGTTTCAGCATGGTCTCAGAGCATTTCCTCTTATTCTATAGGTGAATCCGAGACACTCCATTTAGTATGATCAATCATTTGGTATGATATGTTATGTTTCATATACTATGTATTAATTTGTGGATTTTCATAATCCATTTCGTATGATATATTACGAATTTGCAATTTGTACAATATGTTATGAATTACAATTCTTATAATGTTAGGAAATACCAAAATGTACAATAAGTTATGAATGTACAAAACCTATGATATGTTACAAATTCCAATTTGTTGCAGCTCACGTTAGCTAGGTGGCTAACGTTTGCTAGCTCTAGGCGTTAAGGTTAGGAGTAAGGTTAAAGGGTTAAGGTTAGCTAAAAGGGTTAATGTTAGGGGAAGGGTTAGCAAAAATAGTTAAGGTTAGGGGGAGGGTAAGCGTTACATGCTAAGTAGTTGCAAATTAGCTTAAAATTAGTAGCTATGTAGTTGCACAGTTGCTAATTAACTAAAATGCTAAAGTTGTCCATGATGAGATTAGAAAAAGCAATCTTTGCGTTATACGTTTTTGCCTTAATGCCTTAAGTAACCTATCTTATGTAACCATACCAAAGGTAACATGTCATACTAATTTCAGTCTCCCAGATTTACGTTTACTATGTTACGTCTAGTCTATGAGACCAGTCTGACAGTTTCAATAGTTGTTACCAGTTAGTTTCGTATTTAAGATGACAACAACAACACTGTTTACCTCTACAGTGTGATCCATCATGAAATCTGAACATCCCACGGCATTGGGCCCTTTTGCTGGGGGGATCCCCAGATTGTTACAACAGGAGTTTGAATTTCCCATTGCTGCGAAGAGACTCAACTTGCACCTCAGATCTGTCAAAGGAAGTAAACACATTCAGAATGTCACTGAGTCAGCTATCTTCGATGCAACCAAGAGAGTTAGCACAATGTAAAAACTATTGGTTGCATCGAAGCTATATGAGTCCACCATTAGCAAACATCGACCTCAGTAGCTAGGTTGGTAAGTAACTAATAAAGTTAGTTAGATATAGCTACCGATGCAGCAGTTTCTCGTGGGGTTCTAGGTCAACATTATCATCAGTTGAAAGCTAGCTATGTTTACTCTGTGAAAAAAAAAAAAGGATGTCTCGTGACTGGCTTCCTGTGTGCAATCACTGTCTGTGGACACACATTTTGCACGAGTTGGGGACAAGTCCGGACCATTGCGGACAATTAAGTCAAAGATTTGATAAGTAAACCAAGATAGACCACTGCCTGTCGTTTCCAATGTAAACAAATTAGTCATAGTGGGCAGAACAAGCAAGAAGGTGGGCAGAGCCAAGCACGAGCTAGCGAGATCCTATTGGCGTGTTGTAGCAAACATCTGCATATGTCCGTTAGGGAACGCCTACTCTGTGAAGTGCGCAATAACTCAATTCACCTTCTAAACAACGCGATTTTTTAAAACTTTTGCAAAGTCTACAAATCTTACTCCATTCTTTTCATAACAGATTTTAGTTTGGGAACAGAAAACTGTATTGAGATCAAATGTTTCATCGATGAGAGAATTTCCAGAATGTCGGCCAAAATCCATCTTCTCCAGCTGCCCGCCATCGGGCTTCCTCTCCCTACCATATTTGGTAGTGAGTGGAAACGCCAAGCGGATGCTTCACATTTATACATCCAGTTAAATATCTGTCTCATTGTTCTATCTGTGATTGTGGTCCACCAACTGACGTAGCTAGCTGGTTAGTTTAGTGTTAGCATTTGCTATCTACAGACTGACAGCAACATGGCACTGGCTCGTGCGTCTCTCTCTGCATGGCTTCTGTGTAGTAATATATGTGTGTGTGTGTGTGTGTGTAAAGGTAGACAATCTGTTTGATTATTTGCGTTCCATCATGGAATTAATGTAACGTTAGCTAATTACATTTTGCGTGAATCCAAAGATTATGGATATACTGACAAGATACATGTCTCTCCCCTAACAATGGGAGTCCGTTGTCCACAAAGCGCCTCGGCGGGCTGTCTAACTTCCGCCTATTCTTTGTTTGGATTGGTGGATACATCTCATTATTGTAAAAAAATATATAGAATATTGAATGAGGGTTGTTGATGTCAACCGCCTGTATTCAATGGAGAGAGATGCTACGCTACTAGCCTCATGACATGAATATGCATAGCCATCTCGAGACAACTCTTTTTTTCTCAAATTTGCCAGGATGTCACGTGTCCTAATATATCAGTACACTCGTAACAACTTAGGCATTACAAAACTTATATTCGATAAAATAAACCTCACGTAGAAAATAAGCCATTGATTTTTTGTTGTTGACCAAATTCGACACTCTCATTGAACTCTCTACCAAAACGTATTGCTTTGTGGGCGAAAAAACGCGTCCTGCTGGAGGGAGACAGATTTTCCGCCGAGTTGGGCATCTCTCTTACTCTTCCTCTTTGGCGTATCTCCCAATAGTGTACAGGCAATGATACACTCTTTCATGCAAGGACACTTGGTACTCCACGACTGTAGGGGGTGGTAAATGCAACAATTTATGTTTTTAACAAAGCGGTAGTCCAAAAGTAAGACTTGTCCAAAATGCTGAAGATAGACTGGATTTGTCTACATTAAAATCGATAAAGATGAAATTGGTGAGTTGATCCAACATGAGGAGAATTTACCATTGACTGATACGCTATTCTTTGGTATGCTCATGTAGTTGATATGGCTGCTTGGCTAGGCTAGCCAATTACCGGTAGCTCTTTTTGTTTGCAATTACTAGCATGTTAACGTTAGCTTGCTACAGTTATCACACTACATTTGCACGTTTTTGAACAATAACAAGCCAGCAACCAATTATTGACAAGACCGTTTTTCTGTTGCATTTGCTATGTAAGTTGCTATTGTTGTTGTTCTAGCTAACTTCTTAGCTAGCATGCCTGTTGAGAGATAACAGTGACTAAAATGTAAATGTAGGATCTCTTCCTTTCAGTACTGTCTGTCAGGTCACCCCACCCTGCCATGCAATGTCCTCAAATTCAAATCCACCACCATCATGTTGGACTGTGGGCTGGACACTACCTCTGTCCTGCAGTTTCTACCACTGCCTCTGGTGCACAGGTGAGACTAAAGTGATGTTCACAACACAGGAGGTTGGTGGCACCTTAATTCGGGAGGATAGGCTCGCGCTAATGGCTGGAGAGGAATGAGTGGAATGGATATCAAATACAGACATCAAACATCAAACCATTTGTTTTGATGCCATTCCATTTGCGCCGTTCCGGACATTATTATGAGCCGTACTCCTCTCAGCAGCCTCCTGTGGTTCACAACAGTGCTGCTGTACATCGGCCACAAAGCAGTAAGCATTGGGGTAGTCTCGCGTTGCATACCTCCAAAACCACGTCATTGTCACGCCTCCCGTGAACGGAAGCCTGGTTCTCGACGAGGCTAGCATTGAGGCTATACCTTCCCAAAAAATTCCTTAGGTTAACATTGCAAAGACATTTACCATGAATAGAGATATTTGCCCCAACAAGTGCCATGCCATGATGATAGAGTACCCTCTCTCATTTCCAGCCCAAGGCTTTCCAAGCTCCCTGGATGGGTGTCTAAAGATGGCACGATAAACCTTGAGAAGGTATGCGGTCACATTTCTGTTTCATGTCTATTTAATCTAATATGGATTTATTCATAATTTTAGTTGACCATTCCCCCACACATGTCTACCTTCAGGAGCTGAAAGAGTGTGCAGGTCGCGTCTTTGTAGACTCACAGCCAGAGTTCTGTCTCCCTGAGGTAATGTAAACCTGGATATAATTCAAACCTTCAACCTGTACATGAAATTAACCTGGGCACTTCAGAAGTCACTGTGGGTAACATCATCCCATGTTAATGTGGTTGTCTTGCTTATCGCGTACTTGTCCATCTTCCTCACTCAGAAAGAGCTGCTGGACCTGTCCACCATAGACGTCATTCTAATCTCCAACTACCACTGTATGATGGCCCTGCCTTACATCACAGAGCACACAGGCTTCACTGGGACCGTGTACGCCACAGAGCCAACGCTGCAGATCGGCAGGTTAGGGAGGGTGACTGCCGTGACTAGAATCATCTGTCACAATCTAGAATCACATTCTAGAATCACATTCTAGAATCACATTCTAGAATCAGCAGAATTGGCAACAATTTCAGAAAAATTGCAATTCACATTCTAGAATCACATTCTAGAATCACTAGGATTGGCAACACAAGGAATGTAAAGACTTGTTGGCAACATTGCAGAAAAATGTAATGATTCTAGAATGTAATTCTAGCACTTCACTTTCAAGAATCACATTCTAGAATCATTAGAATGGTAACATTCCAGAAAAAATGGCAAGGGGATCTTGGATATCACCAGCTGATTCTACCCATCTGCCCTCAGACTTCTGATGGAGGAGCTGGTAAACTTCATGGAGAGAGTTCCCAAGGCCCAGTCTGCCACCTGCTGGAAGTATAAGGAAATACAAAGGTATGGCTTGGTGACAGTCCTGACCAATGCCCTCCATGTATTAGTTTAGGATATGTCAATTTATGATATACATGTAATTCATAAACTGAGAGCACACTATTTTCATGAGAAAGAGCATCATATAGAGCAGGGGTATTCAATCAGGGGTCTGACAAGTAATCATGATTACCCAAAATTACATAATCTTCACAGCCCTAGTTAGGTGTGCTTGCTGAAGGCAAAGCACAACTCTAGAGTTCTTACACACTCTTATTAATATTATTATTATTATTCTATTCGCTCTAGCGCTTAAACGATTTTAAGCTATAAACATTAAACCAACTTTCAAATGTGCAGATTGCCCCAGCTTAGATTGTTTGAGAAAAACGTTTTGATGCCATTTTGTACTACAACCATATTTAAATGAGCTCCCAATGCATTTCAATAGCAATAAAAGGGCCATAGACTTCCATGGGGAACATTTTGAAATTTGGGGCGAGCATCTCCTACACCATTTAAGCTAGCAACACCAAATCAATGTTGAGATGTTCAGACTGACTCTACTTAGATTGCTTGTCAAAGGCTTTTTGATACTATTTATACTTTTTAAACTATAACCATTTAAAATATGCATAAATTAACATGGGTTGGATTGAGAATCATAGAAATACAGTGGTAGCTATTCAAAATGCTCCTACTCCTTAACCAATTAAGCTACAAGACCAACTTTAAAACATTCAGGCTATCCTAACTTCAAATTCGTATAAACTTTGATCAACTATAACAGTATAAATTCACATAAATTAGGATAAAATAACTCAACAGTAAAGTGAAAAACTCACCAGAAGCGGGCAGAGCGAGGCAGGTGGAAAGGATGGGACAGACAGAGCAGTGACTGTCTGCTAGCAGGATAGGCCATATCAGTAATCATCCCGTGTAGCTCAGTTGGTAGAGCATGGCGCTTGCAACGGCAGGGTTGTGGGTTCGATTCCCACGGGGGGGCCAGTATGAAAAAAAATAATATATGCACTCACTAACTGTAAGTCGCTCTGGATAAGAGCGTCTGCTAAATTACAAAAATGTAAATGTAAATCTTTGCTGATAGCGATGTTGTGGTTCCATAAGTGGATGAATTGGTCTAATTTAGCATGTATGGTAAAGCCTCAACCCTTAGCTACCTCTTCCAATTCAAATGAGGTCGAAAGATGTGAATAATGACCTTTTTGTTTTGTGTGACTACAGCGGCTGCGATAAAACACAAAAATAGAGACACGTTCTAATTGGGCGAGGTGTCAAAGCAGACAACACGCTCGCCCGCCTGGCTTCGGTTGAGTCATTATAATTCAAAACAATGCATTCTAAAATAAATTACACACTCTCATTTGATGAGTTTAGCCCTTACATTTTTAACCGTTCAAGCTAGACACCAAACCAACTTTCACATGTTCAGGCTATCCTATCCAATCAATCAGCCAATCAATCAATCCATTTTTCCATCTAACTACTTTTCCAACTATAACCAGTCCCTACCATTACTTAAGCTGTCACTACCACTACTGTAACTTATTTCAATATCATAAATACTTTTTAAAAAGCTAGCAAGCTAAAATTTTCTTCAGGAAATGTACTTCTCTAGTTTGGAGTTAGCCTGTTAGCTAGAAAGGTATGTTAGAGTTTACATTTCTTCTAATTATAATGTGGGGAGGTCAAAATAATGAAAAACGATCTACCAAATCTATTCATTTTTAAATGTTGATTATTTGTCCTTATTTTCTAACATGATGGGGGTCCCTGGGCAAGAAAATATTAAAGACCCCTGATATAGAGACATGAATGTCTGTTTAGGCTGCTCCCCGGCCCGCTTAAGGATGCTGTAGAAGTGTCGACTTGGAAGAGATGCTACAGTATGCAGGATGTCAACTCTGCTCTCAGCAAGGTGCAACTCGTGGGCTACTCGCAGAAAGTGGTAAGAGATCCGTCTTGTGCACTATAATTCAAACACACACGCAAACACACACACTAATTCACCTAATAACTTAAGCTAACTTTTATAATTTCTCTCTCCAGGAGCTGTTTGGCGCCGTGCAGGTCACACCCCTGAGCTCTGGTTACTCATTGGGTAGCTCTAACTGGATTATCCAATCACATTATGAGAAGGTTTCGTATGTCTCTGGCTCCTCCCTCCTCACCACACATCCACAGCCCATGGATCAGAGCTCCCTAAAGAACAGTGACGTTCTGATTCTGACGGGCCTCACACAGATGCCAACCGCCAACCCAGATGGCATGCTAGGGGACTTCTGCAGTAACCTAGGTATGTGGTGTCCTGTTCCCAGATCTGTTTGTGCTGTCTTGCCAACTCCTATGGCCATTGGCTTTCATCAATGTCCATTGCTCCATCAACAGTACAATTACCTAATCTTTGGAATCTTGTATAGTACCCATAAAAACACAGTACATTCAAATTTGTATTTACATGTAAGATAGAAGTGGAGACCAAAAATGTATAGAAACAGGTTTGAGGTGTAACTAAATGTAATGTCTTTAGACAGGTACTCAGAAAGCTAACTACAGGTTGACCTATGATGTTGTGTCGGACCAAACTGTCTGTTGTGCTTGTAGCCATGACGATCCGTGCTGGGGGCAACGTGCTGGTACCATGCTATTCCTCAGGGGTGATCTATGATCTCCTGGAGTGCCTCTACCAATTCATAGAGAACGCCAATCTAGGCTCCACCCCCTTCTACTTCATCTCGCCTGTCGCCAACAGCTCTCTGGAGTTCTCACAGATCTTCGCAGAGTGGTGAGTTCCAGAGCCATAGAATTACAATTCTTCTAGCACATTCTTTCTATGACCAGTGCTTTTTGAGCTGTCTGTAGATTTTACTTTGCCATCTCGAACATGTCTCTCTTGTAAAATAGATTTTTTTAAAATCTCAATAAGACAAACCTGTAAAAAAAGGTTAACCTGTTTTAAATAGAAAATGACTGTTGGTAGCAAACCTGCCCCTGGAGATGAGTCTTTTCCCCTCTCCCTACACGTCCAACAGGCTTTGTCACAATAAGCAGTCCAAGGTCTACCTTCCAGAACCACCTTTCCCTCACGCTGAGGTAAGGCTCTGTCTTTAAATTGATTTGTTTTAAAGAGAGTTGCTGCTTTATGAAATTACATTGCACCATACATTTAATTTGTATCTTTGACTTACTCAATCTATAAGAATTTTGGTTAAGACAGTTTTCTTTATAATTTAGCTATAGCTGTATGTTGTCCTATCTCTGACACTTGTCTATGTATGTTTCAGCTGATTCAGACGAACAAGTTGAAGCACTACCCCAGTATCCATGGCGACTTCAGCAGTGAGTTCCGGCAACCGTGTGTGGTGTTCACCGGACACCCGTCTCTTCGCTTCGGGGATGTGGTGCACTTCATGGAACTGTGGGGCAAATCCAGCCTCAACACTATAATCTTCACTGGTGAGCACAACTGTACCAGAACATGGCAAGTTGCCAGCCATGGTACCCTGTCCCTAATCCTGCGCTAGCTAGCTAGTCTGTCGCAAGAGACTTGACCTGTCCCTAAAACTTTGTGGTCCATAAAAAATATCATTAGTAGGCTATATAAAACAGAACGCCAGATCCCATGGTCCCAAGGTGCCTTTCATTAGTCTGTGCCTAAAATATGTGGTCTAATAAATTAACTGTTGAAATGGTTCTATCTTACTCCCATAGAACCAGACTTCTCCTACCTGGATGCGTTAGCCCCGTACCAGCCCCTAGCCATGAAGTGTGTGTACTGCCCCATTGACACTCGCCTCAACTTCCACCAGGTCTCCAAGCTGCTCAAGGAGGTCCAGGTACTCAATTCACTCAATATGTGGAACCTTTTTTTAAGTGTATGAATCTATGTTGAGTTCAACATGAAAGTGAAGAGATACTGAGTTTGTTCAAATCAACCATAATTATACATTTATAATGCACTTCTCTCTCCCCTTCATTTTGTCATATCTTTCCTGTTTTCACCTTGGACACATTATTCTTCTCCCTTTTTGCACATAACCTCCCCTCCCAGCCTCTCCATGTGGTGTGTCCAGAGCAGTACACCCAGCCACCGCCAGCCCAGTCCCACCGCTCAGACTTGATGCTGGAGCTGCAGCCCCCTCCCATGCCCTATCGCCGCTGCTCTGTGCTGGGTCTGCCCTTCAGACGCCGCTACGAACGCATCCAGCTGCTGCCAGAGGTAGGGCCTGTTGCAACACTCTTGTCTGGCATTTCCATACTCCTAAGTCTCGTTTATCACTCTGCTGTTTTGAGGAAGCCTGGAAATCGAGGCTAGCAATATATAAACCCCTTCTGGCCAAAAGGAGTGTGCACTATATGGAACATTAGGGTGTTGTTGAGGTTTTTCCTAACAGTCTCCAAACCCCTACCTGTCGTCCCTCTGTAGCTGGCCAAATCCCTAGTGCCCTCTGAGATCAAACCTGGCATCTCTATAGCAACTGTGTCCGCAGTTCTGCAGTCCAAGGATAACAAGCATACGCTGCAGGTCAGTGTGAGTGTAGGTTGTGTGTGTGTGTGTGTGTGTGTGAATACGTATGTGTTGAATAAATAAATTGCCCAGAAAGGAAAATTCACTAGTATCAGCAGCAAAGGTGTGATGTATACACCACTAACTATCTTGTCTGTGTGCTACCAGCCAGTTCCCAAGCCCCCTCCGCTGCCCCCCAGTAAGAAGAGGAAGCGTGTAGTAGAGGAGCCCCCAGAAGTGCTGGCCCCCAAACCACTGCTTAGTGGAGCTGTACCCCTGGAAGCCTTCTTAGCCATGCTACACAAGGTGAGAACAGGGGAGAATGACTGCCCCCTCTTATTGAAACCATGGAGGCTCAAGGCCGACCACGGTACTGCAGGCATTGGTTGCAGACAACAGGGTCCCCCATTATAGTGAATGGGAAAATGGCAATTTTCGTGGTCAATCTTTGTGTAAATAAACACATTTTTCAAAGACAATCATGGTACCAATAGTTGCTTCTAATACACCAGATGTATGTCTTTTAACTGATTATTTTAAAATCGCATACAGAAGTTAAGGATAATTTAGTTGCTGATGGCAGCCTGCAGTACCCTGGTCAGCCTTCAACTTGAGTTACTCAATGAGGGGGCAGCACTGAGCTAGCCTGCAACGTCACTTCATGGAATAGCTCAAACTGCGCATGTTATGTCTCCATGAGACGCCATCTTAACCGACTTCATTTGGCTTCAATGCGCTATTGAGTCTTCACATAGGAATAAATGATGTCACATGATCAATGGCTGTGTCCATTCATATGCAGTACCAGTCAAAAGTTTGGACACCTACTTGTTCAAGGGTTGTTCTTTATTTGTACAATTTTCTACATTGTAGAATAATAGTGAAGACATCAAAACTATGAAATAACACATGTGGGAACTCCTTCAAGACTGTTGAAAAAGTATTCCAGGTGAAGCTGGTTGAGAGAATGCCAAGAGTGTGCAAAGCTGTCATCAAGGCAAAGAGTGGCTATTTGAAGAATCTCAAATATAAAATATATTTTGATTTGTTTAACACTTTTTTGGTTACTATATGATTCCATATGTGTTATTTCATAGTTTACGTCTTCACTATTATTCTACAATGTAAAAAATAATAAAAATAAAGAAAAACCCTTGAATGAGTAGGTGTGTCCAAACTTTTGACTGGTAGTGTATATAGTCATTGGTTGAGAGGGATACCTTCAAAGTGTTGAACACTGAATACATATGTGTATGCCTTTCCCCTATCTGAAGAGACGGGGTTCATGTAAACAGTATGGTGATTGCTCTCCTTCCAAGCTTCCAATTGGCTTAGGAGAGCTTCTGCCTTATAATTCGGTCTCTTCATATATGCACAAATTAAGGCTCAGCTGTGTTTTTGGACACATTCTCTTCCCTCCCAGCACGGTATCACGGAGGTCAAGGTAGAGGAGACGGCAGACGGCCACATTCTGCACCTGCAGGCCGAGGACACTCTGATCCAGCTGGAGGAGGACGGGACACACATCGTGTGTGACGACAACGAGCCACTCCGCACCGCTCTCAGGGACCTGGTGCTGCGCTTCCTCATGAAACTCTAACCTTTATCCCCTGACCTAAATTCCACCGCTTTTCCTCAATGTGCGTGTTTGATTGTTACATTGCAGTTGGCAACTGCAGACTGACTGTTCTACAAATCTGGCATTCTGAATGGCTACTTATTATGATTGTTAGATCAGTCCGTTTAGTCACCAACTGCAATGTAGTCAATCTCAAACATGCACTTTTTCTATCCCAATAGCTGGAAGTGGCTTTCTCGGCTTGTCTCCTCATCTGTTGAGCTGGTGATGTCATTTTTGTTTGTCTTGAATGTAAGAGGGTAGTGCTTTTATAAAATTGTCTTGTAATAAACGACATTAAAGAAAAAGGAATTTCCAGGACACTGACCATGTGTTGTGAAATATTTAAATAGATCAAATAAATGTTATATCCTTTTAATGTACAATATCTTAAATATACAGTGTACTACATGAGCATTAGATAAAACAAATGTAAGTATGCAGCAGGTGGAAATGTTGACGTATTGATTGTCAGGAAGTAGGGCCCTGTTGGATGGATGACACGACTACAGACTTGACAAATTAGACAGACAACCGCACGCTACCCATCACATTACTTTCCCCGTATCTAATTAAACTGGATACCGGTAAGTGAACATCTTGAAGAAGAACGGAGGAAGTGGATTGTTGCGTTTGAGCTGACCTACAAATGCTTTAGTGAAAATATGCATTTAATACCGCACTTGAAAAGTAAACATATACAGTGCCTTCAAAGTATTAATAATAATATGCCATTTAGCAGACGCTTTTATCCAAAGCGACTTACAGTCATGCGTGCATACATTTTTGTGTATGGGTGGTCCCGGGGATCGAACCCACTACCTTGGCGTTACAAGCACCATGCTCTACCAGCTGAGCTACAGAGGACCACTCATACCCCTAGATAAATAGTTTTTTTTCTTAACCATCTACACACAATACCCCATAATGACAAAGTGAAAACATGTTTTTAGAAATTGTAGCAAATTTATTGAATATGAAATGTAAATTAGGTATTTCTGTATAAGTATTCACACCCCTGAGTCAATAGGTCTTAGTATAACCTTTGGCAGAGATTACAGCTGTGAGTCTTTCTGTGGAAATCTATTTGCACACCTGGATTGTACAATATTTTTAAAATTCTTCAAGCTCTGTCAAGTTGGTTGTTGATCATTGCTAGACAGCCATTTTCAAGTCTTGCCATAGATTTAAGCTGATTTAAGTCAAACCTAAATAGGCCACAGGAACATTCAATGTTGTCTTGGTAAGCAACTCCAGTGTATATTTGGCCTTGTGTTTTAGGTTATTGTCCTGCTGAAAGGTGAATTTGTCTCCCAGTGTCAGTTGGAAAGCAGACTAAACCAGATTTTCCTCTCGAATTTTGCCTGTGCTTAGCTCTACTCCATTTTATTTTTTACCTTTAAAAAGGATGACAAGCATACCCATAACATGATGCAGACACCACAATGCTTGAAAATAAGAAGAGTGGTACTCAGTGATGTGTTGTGCTTGCCCGAAACACTTTGCATTCAGGACATTTCTTTGCCAGTTTTTGCAGTTTTACTTTAGTGCCTTATTGCAAACAGAATGTTTGGAATATTTGTATTCTGTACAGGCTTCCTTCTTTTTACCCTGTCATTTAGGTTAGTATTGTGGAGTAACTACAATGTTGTTGATCCATCCTCAGTAACTGAGTTAGGAAGGACCCTGTATGTTTGTAGTGACTGGGTGTATTGATACACCATCCAAAGTGTAATTAATAACTTCACCATACTCAAAGGAATATTCAATGTCTGCAGTGACATTTTTTTTACCCATCTACCAATAGGTGCCCTTCTTTGCGAGGCATTGGAAAACCTCCTTGGCCTTTGTGGTTGAATTTGTGTTTGACTGAGGGACCTTACATATAATTGTGTGTTAGAAGTACAGAGATTAGGTAGTCATTCAAAGATCATGTTAAACACATTGCACACAGTAAGTCAATGCAACTTATGTGACTTAAGAAATGTTTTACTCCTGAACGTATTTAGGCTTAGTATAACAAAGGGGTTGAATACTTACTGACTCAAGACGTTTCAGCTTTTCATTTTTAATTAATTTGTAAAAATGTCTAAAAACATAATTCCACTTTGACATTATGGGGTATTGTGTGTAATCCTGTGACATAAAATCTCAAATTTAATCAATTTTAAATTCAGGCTGTAACATAATAAAATGTAGAAAAAGTCAAGGGGTCTGAATACTTTCTGAAGGCACTGTACAGGCAGTGGGTTTTGGAGAGATAATCTGGGTGGTGGTTTGACATCTCATATCCTAGTCACCTGAGGGCAGTTTGGTCTTCAGCAGGTTCTATAGTATCACACACCTTATAGGGCTTGTGGAAGGGACACTGGGGCTCAGCCACCACTTCATATGCCCAATCAACCCTTCGCCCCTATCCCCCTGTGTAGATCTGAAATGGTTGGATATGTACACACAACAGGTAGCTTAGCGGTTAAGAGCGTTGGACCAGTAACCGAAAAGTCGCTTGTTTGAATCCCCGATCCAACTAGCTGATCTGTTGATGTGCCCTTGAGCAAGTCACTTAGCCCTAATTGCTCCTGTAAGTCGCTCTGGATAAGAGTGTCTGCTAAATGACTAAAATGTATGTAACAACATTCTAGTAGCTCCACCTTGCACGTGTCTTTTGAATGACCTCTTCTGAGAACTTTCACTATGAGGGTTACAAGGTAGAGCTTCCCCTATATGGCTTACAAGTACATCTAACCAATCTTTTCAGATCTACACCAGTATAGAGCCTAAAAGTCGACCAGAGTCTGGCCAATACAGTCAACCTCTAGCTTTCTCTGGACTGGACACCGACCGACTGGTTTGTCTACTTGGATTCATTTTCAGAGTCCAGCAGTGCAGAGCGGATCCCCAGCTTCTGGAGCTCCTCTACCAGGTCTCCGTTCTGGTGCATCTGTAGGAGGATGTCACAGCCGCCCACAAACTCGCCATTTAAGAAAATCTGTGGGATTGTGGGCCAGTTGGAGAAGTCCTTCACTCCTGTAAGAGAGACAAAGAGTTAACAAGTGTAACTATTACCAATATCCATCATGTTTAAAGTTGTCACGTGCACAAGTACACCGAAAAGCCTTTTTTTTCTTCTAAACCCAACAATGCAGTAATCAATAATACTAAAAATAATAAAAAAGGTAGAACAAGAACACACAAGAAATACAAATAAAAACACGAGAACCAAGTAAGCTATATACAGGGTCAGTTCTAATACAATATTTACAATGTGCAGGGATACTGGAGTGATAGAGGTAGATATTGTATGTATGGGGGTAAGGTGACTAGGCATCAGGATATATGACAAACAGAGTAGCAGCAGCGTAGATGATGATTGTATGTGAGTGCGTAGAGTTAGTATTTGCCCCCTTTCTAATTTTCTCTACTTTTGCATATTTGTGATACTGAATGTTATCAGATCTTCAACCAAAACCGAATATTAGATAAAGGGAACATAAGTGAACAAATAACAACAATTACATATTTATTTCATAAACAAAGTTATGCAACACCCAATTCCCCTGTGTGAAAAAGTAATTTCCCCCTTACACTCAATAACTGGTTGTGCCACCTTTAGCTGCAATGACTCCAACCAAATGCTTCCTGTAGTTGTTGATCAGTCTCTCACGTCGCTGTGGAGGAATTTTGGCCCACTCTTCCATGCAGAACTGCTTTAACTCAGTGATGTGTGGGTTTTCAAGCATGAACTGCTCGTTTCAAGTCCTGCCACAACATCTAAATTGGGATTAGGTCTGGACTTTGACTAGGCCATTCCAAAACTTCCAATTTGTTGCTTTTTAGTAATTTTCATGTAGACTTGATTGTGTGTTTTGGATCATTGTCTTGCTGCATGACCCAGCTGCGCTTCAGCTCACAGACGGATGGTCTGACATTCTCCTGTAGAATTCTCTGATACAGAGCAGAATTCATGGTTCCTTCTATTAAGGCAAGTCGTCCAGGCCCTGAGGCAGCAAAGCATCCCCAAACCATCACACCACCATGCTTGACCTTTGGTATGATGTTCTTACTGTGGTATGCAAGACTTGAAACGAGCAGTTCATGCTTGAATACACACACGTCACTGAGTTAAAGCAGTTCTGCATGGAAGAGTGGGCCAAAATTCCTCCACAGCGACGTGAGAAACTGATCAACAACTACAGGAAGCATTTGGTTGGAGTCATTGCAGCTAAAGGTGGCACAACCAGTTATTGAGTGTATGAGGTTAATTACTTTTTCACACAGGGGAATTGGGTGTTGCATAACTTTGTTTATGAAATAAATGAAATAAATATGTAATTGTTGTGTTATTTGTTCACTTATGTTCCCTTTATCTAATATTAGGTTTTGGTTGAAGATCTGATAACATTTAGTATCACAAATATGCAAAAGTAGAGAAAATTAGAAAGGGGGCAAATACTTTTTCATAGCACTGTAAATGTCTGTGCATGTTCTGTGTGAGCAAATGGAGTGTCAGTGTGCGTGCGTGTGTAGAGTTCTGTGAGTATGTATAGAGACAGTGCAAAAATTAAAATACAAGTGTCAACAGATTTTGATAGATATTTTCTTGTGGCTTGGGGAATGAAGCTGTTCAAGAGCCTGTTGGTGTCAGACTTGATGCACTGGTACCTCTTGCCTTGCGGAAGCAGAGAGAATAGTCTATTGGGTGGCTGTAGTCTAACGATTTCCCGGGTCTTCCTTTCACACTGCCTGATTTAGAGGTCCTAGATGGCAGGGAGCTTGGCCCCAGTGATGTACTGGGCTGTCCGCACCACCCTCTGTAGGGCCATGCGATCGAGGGCGGTGCTGTTGCCATACCAAGCAGTGATGCAGCCAGTCAATATGCTCTCAATGGTGCAGCTGTAGAACTTTGAGGATTTGAGGGCCCATGCCAAACCTTTTCAACCTCCTGAGGCGGAAGAGGCGCTGTCATGCCTTATTCACGACTGTGCACGTGTGTGGACCCCTTTAAGACCTTAGTGACTCCTTGGTCTTACTGACGTTGAGGGAGAGGTTGTGGTTGATGTGTGCCATAATCAGCCTTTTAAAGCACTTCATGATTACAGATTCCAGTGCTACAGGGCAGTAGTCATTGTGGCATGAAGCCTTAGTGTTCTTGGGAACAGGAATGATTGTGGTTAGCTTAAGATGTGGCGATTACAGACTGGGACAAGGAGAGGTTGAAAATTACTGTAAATATCCCTGACAGCTATTCTGCGCATGCTCTGAGAACACGCCCTGGAATACCGTCCGGCCCCGAGGCCTTGCGAGTGTTGACATGATTTAAGACCTTTCTCACGTCGGCCTCTGAGAGTGAGATCATACTCTGGGTTGGTGGGGACCTTCACGCACAGCACAGTGTTATTGTCGATGCGTGAATAAAATGCATTGAGTTCGTCTGGTAGAGGCATCGTTGGGCAGATCACGCCTGGGTCTTCCTTTGTAATCCGTAATAGACTGTAGACGTGCCACATGCGGCGGAGCCTGTGCAATACGATTCCACTTTATTCATATATTGTTCTTTTACTCGTTTGATGACTCTGCAGAGGTCGTAGTGGGACGTCTTGTACTTGTTCCTGTCCTCAGCCGTAGCCTCAGGGTTGTTGTCTGTGATAGCCCTGTGTGCGGCAGCGCTGTCCTTTATTTTAGCGACAACCTCAGTGTTAACAACCTCAGTGTTAATCCAGGGCTTTTGATTGGGAAAGCAGCGAACCTTCACTGTGGGGACAACGTCGCTGATGCATTTCCTAATGAAGCCGGTGACAGAGGTGATTAGCTCGTCGATGTTATCGGCAGAGTCTCGGAACATATTCCAATCAGCGCTAGCAAAGCAGTCCTGTAGCATAATGTCTAATTCTGATGACCATTTCTCAACGGAGCGAATGATGGGTACTTCCTGTTTGAGCGCCTGCTTGTAAAACAGGAAGCAGGAGTACGGAGTCATGATCTGATTTGCCGAATGGAAGACCTTGTATGCTTGCTTGTGGGTAGAGTAACAGTGGACTTTATTGCCCCTAGTGGCGAAGGAGACTTGTTGATGGAAGTTGGGCATCATGTGTCTTAATGACGCAGAACTAAAATTGCTGGCAACAAGGAAGGCAGCCTCCGGGTGGAAGGAAGAAAATGGCAGAAGCGGATGTTGTGTTTGAATTAGCTGACGTGTCGAGCGGAGATGAGAGTGGGAAGAATTAGAATGCAAAAGGAGATAAGAGAAGTAAAGTGAGTGGAAACTAGTAAATCCAAACCTAGTTCTGAGTCTTTTTTGGTTGGAATAAGGGTTTTGGATCGATATTGTTACCTGGGAGATCCGTTTCAAGTCTCTATTAAAAATGTAGATGCGTTGGATAAGGTGGCATTGATGAGAATAACAAGAAGTGGGCTTATTTAGTTTTTTTGCATTTCTATGGAATAGAAGGAGCGTGCTTTGCGCCTCAAGAAGATGTCGGATTGGAATGTGTCGTGTGCGGATCTTCGAAGCAGGGCGCCTATCAAGGGTGTTATCTCTGGGGTGGCGCTAGAAGTAAATGCAAAGGATATACGTGAAGAATGGGATCAAGGGGTTGGTGCACAACGACTGACCCGCATGGTAGATGGAGTACGGAAGCCCACTCCATCCATTCTATTGTTTTTTGATGAAGAGTCTCTCCCTTCTCATGTGTATTTGGGTTATATGACATTCCCTGTGAGAGCCTTCGTGCCAAAACCCATGCAGTGTGATAAATGTAAATTATTTGGTCATGTGTATGTAGACAGGAGGAATATTATATGCCAGCTGAGCCTAAATGCTGCAACTGTGGTGGTGAACGTGCACCCACATTTCTGAAGTGTCCTCTGTTAGGGTGAAGGAGACAAAGGTGGCAAGAATAAGGACTGTCCAGAATGTCTCCTATCTGGAGGTATTGAGAAGAGTGGAAGAAAGGAGTGAAGTTGAAGAAGTAATGGTAGTAGGAATAGACACAGGATGTTTCTTGTCAACAGAGGGATCCTGACATGTTGCATGTTAATAAGGTGGACTTTGTTGCTTTTATTACTTTGGTTATTTACATTACATTTACGTCATTTAGCAGACGCTCTTATCCAGAGCGACTTACAGGAGCAATTAGGGTTAAGTGCCTTGCTCAAGGGCACGTCGACAGATTTTTCACCTAGTCGGCTCGGGGATTAGAACCAGCGACCTTTCGGTTACTGGCACAACGCTCTTAACCACTAAGCTACCTGCCGTTATCAACTGCACAGCGCAAACGGAGAGGGAATCTGAAAAAAATAGGCATTGTGGGTGCGGCTGAGCGTTTTTTGGGACTCAGGGACTTTTCTGCAGAGGCATTACAAGGAATCCTGTCGATGAATGCTCGGTCCTCACAGGCAGCCTGTGTAAGGATGTGATTTGAATGTGACTGAAGGAGTGGGATGGTTGTTTGATTTATTTTTGTATTATCTCACCCCCCCCCCTCCCACAATGGAGTATATTATTTTTGTTTTGTTTCAATACCCCCTACAGAAAGGTGGCGGCAATACACCAAATCAATCTAATTTTATTTGCCACATGCGCCGAATACAACAGGTGTAGACATTACAGTGAAATGCTTACTCACAAGCCCTTAACCAACAATGCAGTTTAAGAAAAGAAAAAGTGTTAAGTAAAAAATAGATTAAATTAAAATAGGTGTAGTCTGCCATAAAACATTAAAGAAGAAGAAGAAGGTAGCCTCCGGGTGCAAGCTTTCCTGCTTGTTTATAGCCTCATACAGTTTGTTAAGTGCCAGCTTGTTATTTGTCTTGTCCTGAGGTGGAATGTGTACAACAGTCACGATAACAGCTGAAAACTCCCTTGGTAGGTAGAAGGGTCGGCATTTGACCATCAGGTATTCCAAGATGGGTGAACATTGGGTCAAGACATAGACTCCGCTCGAGTCAGCACACCATTTGTTGTTGATGAAAAGGCAAACCCCTCCCCATGGGGTTTATCTTGTTTCAGAAAAGCAGAGAATATTGCAGTTACGAGAGTCCTGTTGGTAGCAAATCCGCAATCGGAGGTCATCCATCTTATTATCAAGTGATTGGCCAATGAAATGAAGGGAAGAGGTGGCCGGTTTTCCCTTTGCCTTAATCTCGCCAGGACTCCCTCTCTCTTGCCTCTGTAACGCCGGCGTTTCCTCTTCGATACCCCGACAATTGGGTCGGAATTACTGAAAGAGCCAAGGGCAGTTGAGTCGAAGTCGGAATTGAGTTAAGTAACTACCGATCTGATGTTCAAAAGTTATTGTCGGTTATAACAAATGATAGCGGATACATTTCGTGAAAATAAAGTAACAAATGCCAAAAGAATCAAACTAGCAAAATTGGGTCGGAGCTTCCAAAACGGCGCCTCTACAGTACGGCACCATCTTTAGTATTATGACCCAATTTCAGCAGTGTGCTGGTGTTGCAAGATTAATCTAACACAACTGACACAATTCGCCAATAGACACAATTCCATTAACACACTTATGTTGGAAGTAGGCATTTCCCTGTGTTCAGGCTGCTACACAATGTCTCTCCTAGACCCATTGAATAGCAACAGCCATGGTAAAAATTAAGGAGACTACCTAGTCACAGAAATTGCTATAACAAGCATAGTAAATGTCAGTGCATAAGTAGCCTTACACTTTTGACATGAACCACACCCTCTTGGTCCTGCTGATAAAACTTTGTGAACCTAGCATTTTAAAAGGAGTACAACTACTTTTGGACAGGGTGATGTACCATACATACAGCCAACCACATATAGAGATGAATTATTGTCATCTTACTGAAACCATTTATATTAAAAGGTTCAAATCTAAGCTAGTACTGTAGGATAGGAAGTAAAAAAGTGACAGTAGTTACAGCTAACGTTATAGCTGTAACGGTAGCTAGCTGTACTGACCTTGTCTGAGATCCTGGTCATCCAACACGTTATATGCAGCATATTCAGTCACACCATGCATCCTCAAGATCTGAACCACGGCATTACTGAAGCCACACATGGGCTGGGCAGGGGTCCCTTTCATAAACACCACCACCTTATCTTTCTTCACCATATCGCCAAGGTCTTTCTGTAAGGGCGCCGAACACATGAGCCGGGCCGAGGACTGCAATGTTGACAACGACACATTTCGTCCATCAACTTGCCTCGGTGGATAGACCGACGAACTCAACCGAAGACAGCGAACAGTTGACCGAATTAGGTTGTTCATGGTCTTCGTTAGACTTTAGCAAAATACTGTGTTAAGTTATAGACAGACAACTACACTTCTGAGCAACACAGTTTAGGCAAAGGCAGTACAAACACTATGGTTTAGCTACAGTTCAGATGCAAACATCCACCTCGATATGTTAAAATGGAAGCAACTACATCTGAACGTTGATTGGACAGGATAAATTCCGGTACGCGTGCCATTGGTTCACGTAAATGGCAATAACATTGGTTACACAAGTGAGGGTGAATAAATAATTTACGAAAACATTTTATTTGATAATACTTATAGTCCTAGATAACATATATATGTATTATAAAACAGAATCGTCTGACAATTTGTAATTCTTAAACGTTTTAACGTAAAAACGTAATATGTGAAAATAAGCTTCCGGTAATGCGACGTCATTAGTGGCTTCCGCTTCTGGTAAAAACAACAAAGTTTAACCGAAGATCGAAAAGGGAAACAATGCATTCATTAAACACAGGTTTGTAACATATTATGAGTAGCGCTATACTAATTGTATTGCAATGAAAACTGTGCTTTATATATTTTCACAACAAAAGTTGATGAGAAAGTTTGGGGTTTGTTTGTGTGTGAGTAGCTCACTATAGGTAAGTCTTGGGGGATTGTCATTATGCCGATTCTGTTGCAAAACATTTTTTAATCGGAAGCAAACGGAACGAAACGGGGAGGGACCTACCTGAATTTGTCCACTAGAAACTCTCGTTTTAGTTTGGACTAATACTTACTCCCCAGGGCATGTGGCTGTGTCGTGCTGGTCGTGTAACATTCAAAAGATGCACAGTCACCCTATTGCTTTGTTAGCCATTTGCAACCTTGTGATAGACTCTTGCAAGGACAATTGCTTGTGGCGAAACAGGGTTGCACAAAGTAAAACAAGGAAGCTAAGGCGTGACTTCTGGAGGTTCAGGAGTTCCACGTGCGATGTTCCTTGGACAGATTCTCTACGGAGAACCCTGCTTTCCACGGTGGTGACGGACCCACATGTACCCTCACCTTTCTTGAAACAGGAAGAAAAAGCCATGTGCGGTAACCAGACATTGTTTGAAAGGGGAAGATTTCCCTGTCATACACTGTCGAGTTGCCACATTCTATCATTAGTATCTGTATCTCTAAAGCAGGGATCCAGTCTTTGGCCCTCACCAGCTGTTGGCTGACCCTGCTTTGGAATTCAATGACCTCCTTTGTCATACTTTTTATAAACCCTGTTGTCCTCTCTCTCTCTCTCTCTCTCTCTCTCTCTCTCTGTCAGTGTAGAGCATGGTGGGTGTCAGAGAGCGATCTCTCCTGTCATGTGTCTCGTTATCCTCTTGTGTAGTCACAGCGTGTGTAACGCCTGTCTGCAGGAATACTGGAGACATAAGGGATCTCGGGAATGTCTAGTGTGCCGGAAAAGTAGTGCTATCCTCCCTGTAACCTGGCCATAAAGAACCTGTGCAAGGCCTTCCTTCAGGAGAGAAGTCAGAAAGCTGAAGTCATTGCTGGGTCTGGTGTGTTCTGCAGTCTGCACAGGGAGGAGAAACTCACATTCTTCTGACTGGAAGATAAACAGCTCTGAATTGTTAGATATACTGCACTGTTGGAGCTAGAAACACAAGCATTTCACTATAACCGCAATAACATCTGCTAAAAATCTGTATGTGACAAATAAAATGTGATTTGGTGTGTCAGACCTCGAACAAAAATCAAGATCACAACTGCTGCCTGACAGATTAAGCTGCACTGGATTGTAAGGAGACAGTCAAGACTGCACTGGAGCCCCTAAAGAAGAAGCTGAAGGCCTTTGTGGAAGTGAAACAGACCTGCGATAAAACAGCCGTGCATATTAAGACCCAGACCCAGCAGACGGAGAAGCAGATTAAGGAGGAGTTTGAGAAGCTTCACCAGTTCCTTTGAGATGAGGTGAGGGCCAAGCTAGTTGGAATGCAGGGGGAAGAGGACGGGAAGAGCTGGTTGTTGAATAGATTGAAAGGATGAAAAGAGAGATGTCATCACTTTCAGATACAATCAGAGCCATAGAGGAGGAAACTGAAAACATCTCTTCCCTGCACACCTACAAGGGCATGGTGAAAATAACTGCACACTGCCGGACTCAATGCAGGACTCAGGAATGCTAAAAGTATGAAAAATGTATGAACTCACTAACTGTAAGTCGCTCTGGATAAGAGCGTCTGCTAAATGACTAAAATGTAAATGTAATAGACATGTCCAAACACCTGGACAATCTGTCCTTCAGTGTCTGGGAAAAGATGCATGAAATAGCAGAATACACTCCTGTGATTCTGGACCCCCAACACGCTATCTCACCCTGTCTGGTAATCTGACCACCTTGAGGTACAACAATAGTGATGACAAAATCCCTGCCAACCCAGAGAGGATTTATGACCATGGGATGGTGCTGGACTCTGTGTGTTTTGACTCAGGGACACACTGCTGGGACGTTGAGGTTGGGGACTGCCTGGACTGGGACATGTGGGTGATCAGTCGTCCATCAAGGGAAATTATGAGTTGTTTAAGGAAATATGGGGTGTTGCTGCGTGTGACTGGTTTTAGAGCATATTCACCATCACAGAAACCCATTTTCCTCAAAGTGAAGCATGATGTCCAGAGGACTGTGAGAGTGGAAGTCTGTCTTTATCCTACCCAGTCAACAGCAAACACCTTCACACGTTTACATACATCTTTGGAAAAGTCTTCCCATACTTCTATAATCTGAGTGATGTATTGTTGTCTCTACCTTCTTGCCCTTTGTGCTGTTGTCTGTGCCCAATAATGTTTGTAGCATGTCTTGTGCTGCTGCAATGTTGTTGCTACCAAATACATTTAAACTCAGTTTTTCACAATTCCTGACATTTAATCCTAGTAAAAACTCCCTGTCTTAGGTCAGTTAGGATCACCACTTTATTTTAAGAATGTGAAATGTCAGAATAATACTTATTTCCCTCATTAAAATGCAAATCAATTTATAACATTTTTGACATGTGTTCTTCTGGATTTCTTTGTTGTTATTCTGTCTCTCACTGTTCAAATAAACCTACCATTAAAATTATAGACTGATCATTTCTTTGTCAGTGGGCAAACGTACAAAATCAGCAGGGGATCAAATACTTTTTTCCCTCACTGTACGTTCATCTCTAGGAGACAGAACGCGTCTCCTTCCTAAGCGGTATTACAGCTGTGTGGTCCCATGGTGTTTATACTTGCGTACTATTGTTTGTACAGATTAACGTGGTACCTTCAGACGTTTGGAAATTGCTCCCAAGGATGAACCAGACTTGTGGAGGTCTACAAATATTTTTCTGAGGTCTTGGCTGATTTCTTTTGATTTTCTCATGATGTCAAGCAAAGAGGCACTGAGTTTGAAGGTAGGCCTTGAAATACATCCACAGGTACACCTCCAATTGACTCAAATTATGTCAGTTAGCCTATCAGAAGCTTTTAAAGCCATGACATCATTTTTTGGAATTTTCCAAGCTGTTTAAAGTCACAGTCAACTTAGTGTATTTAAACTTCTGACCCACTGGAATTGTGATACAGTGAATTGTAAGTGAAATGATCTGTCCGTAAACAATTGTTGGAAAAATTACTTGTGTCATGCACAAAGTAGATGACCTAACCGACTTGCCAAAACTATAGTTTGTTAACAAGACATTTGTGGAGTGGTTGAAAAACGAGTTTGAATGACTCCAACCTAAGTGTATGTAAACTTCCGACTTCAACTATACCTCAACCGAGCTACACTCATCTCACATGAAACAATCACCCACAAGGATTTATTCCAAAATCATGGGCATTAATATGGAGTTGGTCACCCCTTTGCTGCTATAACAACCTCCACTCTTCTGGGAAGGCTTTCCACTAGATGTTGAAACATTGCTGCGGGGACTTGCTTCCATTCAGCCACAAGTATTAGTGAGGTCGGGAACTGATGTTGGGCGTTTTGGCCAGGCTTGCAGTCGGCGTTCCAATTCATCCCAAAGGTGTTCGATGGGGTTACGGTCAGGGCTCTATGCAGGCCAGTCAGGTTCTTCCACACTGATCTAGACAAACCATTTCTGTATGGACCTCGCTTTGTGTACAGGGGCATTGTCGTGCTGAAAGGGCCTTCCCCAAACTGTTGCCACAAAGTTGGAAGCACAGAATTGTCTAGAATGTCAACATTGTATGCTGTAGCATTAAGATTTCCCTTCACTGGAACTAAGGGGCCTAGCCCGAACCATGAACAACAGCCACAGACCATTATTCCTCCTCCATGAAACTTTACAGAAGACGCTATGCATTGGGGCAGGTAGTGTTCGCCTGGCATCCGCCAAACCCAGATTTGTCCATCGGACTACCAGATGGTGAAGCGTGATTCATTACTCCAGAAAACACGTTTCCAATGGTGGAGAGCTTTACACCACTCCAGCCAACGCTTGGCATTGCACATGGTGATCTTAGGCTTGTGTGCGGCTGCTCTGCCATGGAAACCCATTTCTTGAAGCTCCCAACAAATAGTTATTCTGCAGACGTTGTTTCCAGAGGCAGTTTGGTAGTGAGTGTTGCAACCGAGGACAGACTGTTTTTACACGCTTCAGCACTCAGCGGTCCCGTTCTGTGAGCTTGTGTGGCATACCACTTCGCGGCTGAGCCGTTGTTGCTCTTAGACGTTTCCACTTCACAATAACAACACTTACAGTTGACCTGGGCAACTGTAGCAGGGCAGAAATTTGACGAACTGTCTTGTTGGAAAAGTGGCATCCTATGACGGTGTCACATTGAAAGTCACTGAGCTCTTCAGTAAGGCCATTCTACTGCCAATGTTTGTCTATGGAGATACACCTGTCAGCAACGGGTGTGGCTGAAATAGCGAAATCCACTAATTTGAAGGGGTGTCCACATACTTTTGTGTGTGTGTGTGTATATATAGTGTATATGACAGGCCTACATTACCAGGTTCAGGTTAATTCAGATTACGCACTAGGAGGAGTTCTAACGTGGAGGAGTTCTAGCGTGTTCAGGCAATATATTTGATATTGATGAGCTGAGTAGTGTGTCACTCAGGACCACTGTAGTGGAATAAAGTGATATCAGATGTGGATCAACATGTTTTTTCCAGTGTGACCTTCCTCTGGAGATCGAGGACCTGTTCACAGACATTGAGGGTGGCAGGGTTCTCATGGCTTTACTGGAGGAACTGACAGGGTGTAGACTGGTAAGGATCCATCAGCCCTACTGTGTTGTGGGTCTGATATTGGCCATGTTTCGCTGGAGGTGTTCTGATATAGGCCTACTGTACATTGTTTGTTTTGCTGCTACAGTAGCCCATGTTGTGTGTTCCCCACAGTAAATGAATGACATTTTCGAGTATAGTTGTCTGGGTAATGAGTTATTTGTGACTGCTTTTATTGCACTCCCTGATGGTCTATCCCTTATTTATTGTGCTGGGTTTGTGGTGGAGGTGCGTGACTTTGGGCAGAGCTGAAGCAGTGGTCTGTCCTTCCTGGCTCTAGTTAAGTCTATAGATCCAGGCCTAGTGGACATGAGTGACACTCTGTCCAGAGAGCCCAGGGAGAATGTAGAGGAAGCCTTCAGGATAGCACATCATGGCCTGGGGATCCCACCACTACTGGAGCCTGATGATGGTACAGACACCCTACAGAGTGAACTCCCTCCATGTTAATACACAGTGGAAACAAAGCATCTAGATGAATACAATGGCTTTTACTGCACAATGATGTACTGTGTATCATCAGTACATACAAGTCTCTGCTTTGTAATATCATGTTTCTTTTTGCTAATAGATGACACACACAGTACTCCAGATGAGCAGTCCATCATAACCTATGTGTCCCAGTTCCTAGAACACTACCCTGGACTTGATGAAGTGAAATTTATGTCGTCTAATTGTTCCACACTACGGTATTCTTTCAATGTTGCTTTACCCACCATTTACATATATAGGGTAATATTTTTTACAAGCCTTTGACAAGACATTGTGGCTCTTAATAAAATACAATGATAAAAGGTCTTCTTTCATTTGTTTTTCAATAGGACAGTGCATCTGACTTTGACATGAGCTCAATCCTGTTCAGAGACAATACTAACCAACCAGCACCAGAGACCTTCACCCCAGCAGAGATCACTGTCCCCAACCCTGACCAGACCTCTGCCTCCACCCCTCCACCAGAGGCTAAAACCTGGGCTCTGTCTCTGGGTCAGGAGAGGATCAGGGAGCAACCTTCAAAAGGTTATCAATCAACCTACCAGTGTAGTTACAAACAGTACAGGAATGAAATCATCAACATGTATTGATCATATCTTTACTAATGCTGCAGAGATTTGTTTGAAAGCAGTATCCAAATCCATCGGATGTAGTGATCACAATATAGTAGCCATATCTAGGAAAATCAAAATTCCAAAGGCTGGGCCAAATATTGTGTATAAGAGGTCATACAATACGTTTTGTAGTGATTCCTATGTTGTTGGTCTGTGGTGTGTAATGAGGAGCAAACAGACACTGCACTTGACACATTTATGAAATTGCTTATTCCAGTTACTAATAAGCATGCACCCATTAAGAAAAGGACTGTAAAAAATGTTAAATACCCGTGGATTGATGAGGAATTGAAAAATAGTATGGTTGAGAGGGATGAGGCAAAAGGAATGGCAAATAAGTCTGGCTGCACAACCGATTGGCAAATGTATTGAGAAATCATGTGACTAAACTGAATAAAAAGAATAAAAAAACACACTATGAAACAAAGATAAATGACATAAAGAATGATAGTAAAAAGCTTTGGAGCACCTTAAATGAAATTTTGGGAAAAAAGAAACTCTGCTCCGTCATTCATTGAATCAGATGGCTCATTCATCACAAAACCAACTGATATTGCCAACTACTTTAATTATTTTTTCATTGGCAAGATTAGCAAACTTAGGCATGACATGCCAGCAACAAACGCTGACACTACACATCCAAGTATATCTGACCAAATTATGAAAGACAAGCATTGTAATTTTTTGAATTCCGTAAAGTGAGTGTGGAAGAGGTGAAAAAATATAGTTGTCTATCAACAATGACAAGCCACCGGGGTCTGACAACTTGGATGGATAATTACTGAGGATAATAGTGGACGATATTGCCACTCCTATTTGCCATATTTTAAATGTAAGCCTACTAGAATGTGTGTGCCCCCAGACTTGGAGGGAAGCAAAAGTCATTCCGCTACCTAAGAATAGCAAAGCCCCCTTTACTGGCTCAAATAGCCGACCAATCAGCTTGTTACCAACCCTTAGTAAACTTTTGGAAAAAATGGTGTTTGACCAGATACAATGCTATTTTACAGTAAACAAATTGACAAACTTTCAACATGCTTATAGGGAAGGATATTCAACAATCATAGCACTTACACAAATGACTGATGATTGTCTTAGAGAAATTGATGATAAAAAGATTGTGGGGGCTGTTTTGTTAGACTTCAGTGTGGATTTTGACATTATTGATCATAGTCTGCTGCTGGAAAAACTTATGTGTTATGGCTTTAAACCCCCTGCTATATTGTGGATAAAGAGTTACCTGTCCAACAGAACACAGAGGGTGTTCCTTAATGGAAGCCTCTCCAACATAATCCAGGTAGAATCATGAATTCCCCAGGGCAGCTGTCTAGGCCCATTACTTTTTTCAATCTTTACTAATGACATGCCACTGGCTTTGAGTAAAGCCAGAGTCCATGT